GAATTGTTCTGGGGATGTCCTGGAAGCGACTGGTCTAGTGGAATCCGGAGTTCCTTGAGTGCTGATTCGAATTGCGGCGCATCATCCGAGTAAGCGTTGGTGACCTTTCTCTTACCGATATAGTGCTTCATTGCCTGCACCACTTCGTCACTATTGCTTGCTTTCAATGGATAGCCCCATATCACACCAGTGAACCGATCTCGAATCACCAATATGTCCTTATCCGGCATGATCCCATCTCTCGCCATCTTCTGAGTGTTCATGAGATCGAAAGTGATAAGGTCACCGAATGCCTTCAATTTCCGTTTGAAAGCTCCCTTGCTAGTCTTGTAGTGCTTCATCTTTGCTCTCACACATGACTTGCAGTATGGGTTCTTGTATCGGTGCGTCATCAAGTGCAATATGGATTTCGCCTCGTTCTTCAACACTCCTGGTTTTGATAGTCTGGCTTCCCCATCAACCACATCGACTTCCAATAGTCCCTCTTCATCTTCATCAATGTCACTCTCCTCTCGTTCAGAATCCGCATCACCTCCATGTTCGTCGCCTCCGGCTTCTTCAGGTTGACCTTCGTGATCACGATCGAATCTCGGGTCTTCCCCGTCATATTCCTCTTCAGGAGAATACCTGTCATCACCGTGTTCCTCTGGTTCTCCTTCGACGCCTGCAACAGCTGGATTGATATCAGATTCACCATCCCGATCTCTCTGGTTATCTTTCTTCTTTCTCCTCCGTCTCCGTGGTCTCTTGGGCGGAAGTTCCTCTTGTTGTGTCTCCTGACCTGCTGTGACCTCGTCTTCATGCCCCACACCTGACAGTATGCGATGAAGTATCGTAGCCAAGCCGTCTGGTCTTGGTAAACATCTCCCGTCATCATCATTCACCTTGATGTAGGGTATGTTGTCATGCACCGATAGCGGAATCTTGTTCGCGTTCTGGTCGATGAGGTATGGCAATTGATTTGCCGGCCATATGAATGAGTACCCTTGTTCCATGCACCGTTTCCCGATGGAAAAGACGGATGGTGTGCTCTCCAACACGTGTGCCTCGGACCTCATGGGTAGTTCGTCCACATTGATGTCCACCATCTCTGATGTACTAGTTACACCATTCGCTGTCATGAAGCTCACGGATTTGGGTCCTTCCTTGGTGGTAAGGCCCATGGCATTGACTTTCTCTCTTGAGATCAAATCGTGTCCACATCCCGTGTCCATGATGAAGCGTATTGGTGGTCCATCATACCTCTCCACAGCCATGAACATCGTGTCTCCTGGTATCGTGTAGTTGACAGAATCCTTCCTTACTACCTCTCTGGTGTTGAAATCAGACAGGTCGACGTTCACCTCGATTCCTTCATCTTGAGTGATTTGTATCCATGCCTTGGCAATGTGTTCAGCAGAGTATAGCTCCATCATCTTACCTTTGGCATGTGCTACTCGTGCAGCTATATTGCTCACTCTGAGGGCTCTCAACGACGAAATGAACTCGGTATCCACCTTCTGCACTTCATTCTTCTTCTTCCTGAGGGGACGGATGTTTAGCTCGTTACCAGGATCGCAGGTGAACGTGGTCACGTTCGCCTGGTCATCGAATCTGACTTTAAAACGAAGCGCCAGCTCACCTCGTTGTACGTTGGGAAGTGCGGGTTGTACGTCCTCGTCGTCACTCTCGATGTCTCCGCAAAGCATGAAGGCTGGCGCAGCCGGTTTGGGCTTGGCTTTGCCTTTAGCCTCTTGTTTTGTAGCAGGAGCAGCGTGATGCTGACGTCGACATTTGTCCCCGAACTTGCACGATCCTTTCTGCCAATTCCAACAGACCTGATCCTTCATTGGCTTAGGGCTACTGCTCCTGCCACCAGGACTCTTTGATCTGTCACCCTTGAGGCTTTCTGGTTTCTTAGCAGAACTTTTGTGCTTCTCTTGGTGACTAAACTTGCATTTGTCTCCTCTAGAACATCCGTTTTTCCCATGGAAGTGGAAAGCGCATCCTATCCTGGACGTATCTGCTGGAGTCGCTGACCTGCCACGATCCCCTTTTGGGCTCTTCGTGGTTGATCTTCCACGATCCTGCTTCTTGTCCTTCTTGTTGTGGTCCTTCGGATTAGCCTGAGGAAGTACTGGAGCGGCGTCATGTTTCGGTGGATCGGCCTTGGTATTCTTGGGTTTCGCTTTAGGGTCCTTCTTCTCCGCCGCTGGTGTGGCTTTCACGATGTTCCCAAAAGCTTTTTCCCTTTCTTTCTTGTTTGTGGTCTCGATTGATTTCCGTATCCACTTCGTCATGATCTCTCGTAACTTCTGGTAGGTCTTATCCGGATCCTTATCCAACATGTTGTCGTACACAGACAAGTCTAACGCCATAACCTTAGAATCCTTAATCTTATCCCAAAGCAGGTTGCGAAGTGCTTTGTCAGGAAGCATGTCATCCGCATCCATACCTGATATGATCTCATCCCACTGTCCAAGGAATCTGGATAGTTGATTATCCCCAGGGAACTTTAGATCGAATAAGTGCTTGGATGCATACATCACATCAACGTTGTCGGCACTCCGGAAACTGTCGACGATCAACGCTAACATTTCTCGTCCCTTGACCATTCCAGGAGTTGTGCCTCTCGCACGTCTCTGCATCATCTGCCTCACCTTCAGTTGTACATCATGAGATCTCTCACCTGCTGCGTGGATGATCGTATGTAGGGTGATACCTAGCTTAGCGTCTATGCTAGCGAATCTTGCTTCGCCTGATGTCTCGAGTAGAAATGGGTCATATGGTGATCTGAAGGCATCCGAGAGCCATTGGATCCAGTCTTCTTGTTTCTCGTCGCCCGATGCCGTCACGACTGCCGCTACAACCTGGGATTTCCAAACCTCCAGGTCGTGTATCTTGGGCCATGCAGGGATGTTGATCTTCTCGTGTTCCTTCCGAGATATCTTGGAGCCACCTGAGCTAGAGGATGAAGCGGCACCATGTTCGGTTGCGGCTGCATTCTCTGCACTCATGCGCTCCTCTTCGTACCTCTTCCGGTATTTATTCCTCTCATCTCTGAGCCGTGATGCATGCGCTTCGAATTCCATCATGTCCTGTTGGTTCTGCATCATACCTTCGTAGTACTCAATTGCCTCTTTCTCCTCGGACCTTAATGACTTTTCAGTACGTTCAAGTTCCGCTCTAAGCTTGGTCATCATCTCATTCTCCACACTGGGTTCTGATCCCATGTCTGGTGGTTTCAACTTCAGTGCGACCTTCAATTGTGCTTCACTTGCGCTTGATTCGATCAATTCTTCCTGAAGACGTTTCAGCATCCTCTCTTTACGTAGAATGTCCTCTTCCAACATGTTCACCTTGACTTCGGCCTTCTTGAGTTCGGCGCTGGATGGTTGAAAAGGTCGATCGGATCCTTGAATCCTCGTCTGAGTCAACTCCTCGTTCGCCTTCTTCAATTGCTCTCTGATGCTCAAGATGAACTTGTCCTGAGTATTAGATCGGTTGTTGAGCTCCTCATTCTCTTCTGATAACCATTTGATCTTGCTTGCATACATTGCTTCCCTCATCTTCATCTCTTCAGCATATTCGTGTTTGTTTCTGGCACTCTGCCTTTGTAGTCCAACTAACTCCTGTCTACACAGATCCTTGACGTTCTCAGCATCTGCGATTGTAGTCATGACCTCGGTTACAGCTCGATCTCTTTCTGCCGATATAGCCTGGATCTCTTCCGTGCCGATGTTCACAACTTGACTAACCATCTCTGCGCTGTTGCGATCAGCGTACTCCCCTAACTGGGTGAGACGATCCCGCATTGCCACACGATCAGTGTCCATCTGGTATTGCAGGTCGTGTGCTGCTGAGAGCAAACAGTCTCTGGATTCTGTAAGTTGGGTGATTCTTCGTTGATTTCCATATCCTTCGACATAACATTCTTCGAGGTGTGCCATCACTACTTCGTGGACTTCGGTCTCGTGTTGTATAATCTGGTTCTGTCTCTGCTCACATTCGACCATCCATGCGTTTTGGTGGTTCAACATATGCACTTCGGCAAGTAGTTGCGCACACTTCGCATTCAGGTCTCCATCGGCCCGTGCTAGTTGTAGGTTGTCAGTGCTTGCCCTTGCTCGATCTCCAGCTTCGCTGTCCGACGGCACTGGTACAGCTGACCCATCCTGCAATGCTAACGTTCTTACAGCTCCGGTGTCAGTCCTCCTCCTCGTCTCCCTAGGGCTACGGCCTGATCTCGGTGTCCCCCACGGTGGTGTCGAGTGCGCTGACGGGGAACGACTTCGTGCTCTACCTGTCGCAACTTCTCTCACCACTGTCAGTGTCTCCGCTTCGATCGTACCTGGACTAGAGTTGTGGGATGCACTCATCCGATCTGCGGCCGCAGCAGCTGCTCCAAAAGATGCAGTGCTGGCGTCGGATTGGTCCATCTTCAGTGACTGAGGGTAACTGATCTATCCGATGCGTGTGCGTTTAGATGGTGTTGTGTAAGGCCGCAGCTCGTACCCAGCTCAACGGAGTCTGGATACGGCTGATAACCTGCGAACGGATGGAAAGGTGTGCCCTGGCCCCGTTCTAGCTCTTAGGTTAACATGAAGCTCGCGCGCTAAAGCTCCTTTTTACCTGGTTGGGCACTTGAGCCAAAAGTATATGGCATGTACCTGTATAGCGACTATACTGGGACCCCATCCCTATTGACATAAAATGTATGGGTTATAGTCCTAGTTCGTTAGTTGCATCATGTTGATTGAATTCCCAAACACCCCATGGGACTGGAATCAATGCCTACCAGGAACAAACTGAAACCATCACCCCTGGCCCTGATCGGCAAGTATGCCAGTCCCAAACAGGTACTTCGCACCATGACCGACCCCTCGCCCGCCGTGTAACCTGGCGGGTCAAGGTAGAAGAGCGTGCCAGGTGTGCGTTCCAGGTCCAAGATGTATTGATCTCATCGATCAATGCAACAGCTTTCATCCCAAAGAAGCCCTTGTCAACAAAGATTCTGTGCTTCAGCTGGTCAAGTCTGGAGATGAAGTGACACCAATCGCAGGAGCGCTTCCTAAAGCGGTTTATGTCCAGTCTGGCCCGGCTTCACTTCTATATAGTGGCATTTGGCTTGCAAGAGCTGATTTGGGTTTGCAAGTGTTAGGCTAAGAGATTCTGAAAGCCTTCTGTTGATGAGGCCACATGATTTCATGAACGATGCTCCTTGTGCCACAGGTTTGGAAGACATGTGTCAGCATCTCTCACAAGAACTTTCCTGAGAACATGGGTAGTATACAGCGGTTTCAGAGTAGATGGCACATGATGGCACATGATGGCACTGACAGCCCAACATGTATTTGCGAAATAAATGCAATCAACCTTGGGGATTTTGTGCCGTCTACTCTCAACCAACCACCAATAAAAAAACACAAAACAACATTATAAACCAAATCATCCTTTCAAAAGAATTACAAAGGGGTGACCGATTCGTTTCACATAGTGAGTGGACGTTCACCCTAAACCTCCGTTGCCCAAACTGAATGGAACTCCTTTCTTGCCACATTAACGAAACAATTCAAAAAAACACAAAACACTGGTGTTTTTTTTGAGTTTTTGGGCGTCTATGGAACAAACCTACCCACCTCCTCTTCCGGAGCCTCCAGGAACCTTCCCAACCCTCCTCCACGCCGAGCTCGAGCTCGCCGGCACCCCCCCGAGGTCCGGCCCTCGCCTCCGTGAGGTCCGAGAGGTCGGACTGCAGAAAGCGCGAGGAATCGCCTCGGTTGGAGCGGGTTCTTCGGGCGAGGCGACCGCTCGGCGGTGGAGGGGCGCGGTGGAGGGCCGGGTAGAGCGCAAGGCCGGAGGCTCCGGGTCCGGTTATATAGGTCGTGCCCCGGCTGGGTGAATTTCCTGGCGGTGCCACAGCCATATAGACTTAGTGGTACGGACCAAACGCGTAACAGAAAGGCCTCCAGCCCGTTCGCACCTTTCGCAGCGAAGGAGGACTGGAGCCCGAGGACTGGAGGTGTCAGCCACTCGGGTAGGATGGTGGAGGGATGGATTGATCCATCCTTTTGCCTCATTCTTTTGGGGATCGCTGACAACTCCACTAGAAGCCAAGCTGGATGGTCAAACATGGTCAAATTTCGACCTAGGGAGGGCAGGTTTATGAATTAAAACATGATCGCATATGATCGCTACCAGCTTCCAACGGGTCTCCAATGGAACAATACCTAGACCCTCCCGAGGCAATAACTTTCGCCGTAGGCTCTCTGAGGCAATTTGTTTTGCCGTAACTCCCTTTTGTCTGCCGTAGCTCAATCCCTGGAAAGTGAAAACGCCGTTAGAGAAGTGAAAACGCTGTCACAAAAGAAGAATCGCCGTGTTGTTTGATCTGCAAAAGAGGATATTGTTTGGTCCGTCCATACCCTGGAATTGCCCTCTCTTTTTCCCATAAGTAGGGAGAAAACCCCGTAAGTACGGGGAAAAACGCCGTAAGTACGGGGACAAACGCCGCAAGTACGGGTAAGAGCGCCGTAACTTTAAATGCTAAATATAAATATTGCTACGTCTTCGGCAATGCCGCGTTACTCACGAAAACCGATGAAAACCCAGCCTGTGACACTTCCATCAGCTGCCCTTTCCACTCTACACGACTATGCAAATTTGCTGATATAGTTAGATGATAAGTAGATGGCTTTTACGTTCAGTCGCCTTTCAAGCAAGACCCTACAATGTCTTCATGCTCGCCTCCACTAAAAGGAAATGACTCGAGGCGCATGGATGTGTGTACCAAAATTGCCGTCAACTGACCGCAACTGCCGCAGTTCATTAAGAAACGCTGTCCCCATGAGATCAATATGAATAAAGGCCGATGTTTCATGAAAACGGCAATGATTTTTGCCGTAACGAAGTTCCAGGTATGGGACAACCCTACACTTATAGGTCTCCAAACCATCAAACCAGGCACCTTAGACCCTTTGGACCTTGGAAGTGCTAGGAAAACGTGATATGAGTGACTTTGGATGGACACATGGGTGACCCCTTCAGCTAGCCTGGTGACCAAAACAATGCCACCAGGTCCCACGAGTTGAGAGGCAACAAAAACACCGGCGACCGGTGACCCCAAAGGAAATGTCCCCAACCACGTAATCACTCCAGTTTTTAAATTCCTATCATTGGCTTCTTATGCCCATCAACTTCTGAAACGACCCCAATGTAGGTTGACCTCTGAAACGATCCCACTCTCCTTAGCTCCTTCCATCCCTGGCTTTCAGCGGTTTTCACCTGGCACCGAGCCACCATGGCCAATGGCCTCCGGCTCGTTGTCGCTGTCCTCATCCTCCGCGGCGACCTCTACGGTGTTCACCTCCTCCGCGTCCTCCACCACGAAGGCTTCGGGCCAGAGACCAGCTTTCGACTCTGTACTCGACACGAGTCAGACAATCAGACCAACAGAGGTTGAAGGACCCGAACTAGACTATCGCAGTTGGGTACCCCTGTAGGGTCCTAGTTCAGGTCACTGTCCACCTCTCTTGGGAATGAAAGGGACAACACTTCTCAGAATCGAGAACGGGCATGGAGCAACATGCCAGCTGGCTGTTTTTCGTTGGACAAATACTTGGTCTTTCATAAAAAGTTCCACTACAAATTCACCCTGGTGGCCGGTTAACCAGCGTTGGACCAATCTGTCGGTTCAGGTCTCTTGGGAACCCTCACCTCCCTCACCTCAACCTTCGGGCCGACCTTCGCGGCATGACCGAACGGTGCGACTCCGTCAATGACTTCGTGCATCGGGTCGGCAGTCCCCAAAGTGTTCCATTGGAGTTGTCATGTCATGATGACAGGAAGATCTACATGGAAAACCATGGAACACCTTCTGCTTGGGTAGGGAACACGCCCCTTTTCTTCTAGAATCACTTTCTTCTGCAAAACTCTATGATCATTCTAGTGACCTTCCGCTGTTCCCGACTTTACGGCTCTTCCGATTTTGAACACATCTGGTCCTGAACGAAGACCACCGAACAACATGCGCTTGTCCGCCGAACAACCTTCCAACATTGAGAGCTACTATAGCATTGAGTTTGGTGCAGCAGTGAAATCCATCAACATCCCAAGAGGGCAGTATCACCTTTTTGAAACATGTTGAAGCAAACACTCAAAATCGAACCTGCAGCAGGATGTCTATACCTGGCATACGCAAAAGACGTCTATATATCTGTTGCGCATGGTGGACGCTTGGCACCTGCCAATTCGGCCACCCATTGGGTCCAAATGTCCGGCACCTTTGGGTGAGGGTGGTTTGGCTCGTCCCATGCAGGGCTCGTGGATGTGACGTTCAGGCACCCAACTCCTATCCTCCGTTCGTTCGGCACCCATGACGTTTTCTTCCACTTTGCAGTTAGACCCGTCAGGCCTGGCTGTTCTGCGGCCTTTCCTGTTCATCCCTCTTTTTTGGGGGGGCACCTAGGACCACCTTGAACAGCCAGAAGTGTGAGAAGTGAGTGGGCGATGGGACGATGAGCCCCAGCTCAGAAAACCAGCTCTAAAAGCTTCCATTCCAAAAAAGCAGTTAGCATACGCCAGGACCCTCGAACAGCTAGGTTTGGCACCTTCCAACGCACCTTTCGAATCAGTTCCAGGTGCTTTCGAGGCACCACTTCTTACATTCTTCTATCACCTCGGCAACCGAACGGAGGCTTTGTTGGGAGGCTTCTCTGCCCGTGGAATTCGCTTAGTCACGTCCTTCTCTTCGAGCTCCACGGGCAAGATTGGTTCAATCCGGGTCTCCTGATCGCTTGAGGAGCCAGGTTTGGATGAACCACCTGAGAGGTTTGGATGAACCACCTGAGAAGTTTTGTGAGTCTGCAGTTTTGTTGATCTGGGAAGTCCGTTTTTGAAGTGATGTCGATATCCTATAGCCGAGCCAGAAAGGTGAACTCTTCTTTTGGAGCTTGGACCAGTTGACCTCAAACAGGAGCTTCAATCTTGGTAGGTGGGACAGGTGGATTATTTGGCGCCGCAAAGGTTCTTCCTTCAATCTGCCGGGGCAAAAAAGTCATTTGACTGTGCCCAGCTCGCGGATTTGGCTGTGGCCCTTCGATTGGAACTACAGCGATGGACTCGTCGATCGATTCCACTCCGCACGACACTCTGAAAATCAATCATGGGAAGTGGATGAACATAGCCACTGGAAATAGAATGGAAAGACTATTTTCCTCGACAACAAGACCATAGTTGTCCACTTCTATGTTTGGAGACAACGAGACCATCCAGTAATTACACACTCCCCCTAGGCCTCCAGTCGTACCGAACCTAAGAAGGTCGGGACTGGGGTAGGTGCCAGGAGGGTCCGGTCCAAATATCTTCTGAGGAGGTACTTGGAGGTATAGGGTCCGCCGACTACTCTGTCTGACGGCTGTTCGAAGGGATGGAAAACAGTGAAAACGCCCATCTGCAACAGAGGGGAGATTCAAACACCACAGGATGTTCTGGGCCAGCTGGAATAGGATCTTCATTCATCTACACTCCCTAATACAAACATGGAAGTGGAAAACCACCTGTTTGTAGAGGAAAATTGCCATTCAAGGGGTCATTTTCCACTTCCATTTTTGTTCCAGGAAGTGTATCTGTCGCAGAAATTCTGCTTGGCTGCAGTTGCTCTCGGACCCCCTCCCCTCCACCTTCGGTGGATATTTCTGCGAAGCAACCCATTCCCTCTCCAAACCCTAGCTTTGGAGCCCTGATTCGGATTTAAAGAACATAGTTTTGGAAGCCCTAGCTTTGGAAGATGGCGCTTTGACTGCAACAACCATGTGTTGTTTCATGTTTTTTTTTTTTGTCGGATGTTCAGTGCTCCCCAACACCGAATGGTCCAAACGGTCCGGTCCGCCTTCCGGTGCTCCCCACGACCGAGAGCGTCCTCGGGGATCTCTTGGAAGCGCACACTGCTGCTCTCTCGGGAGACGGGAGACAAGTCTGGCGTGCGCGGGCTGACAAGTAGGGCCGGTAAGGCGATGAGGTTTTGGATGAAAGGGTGTGCAAATAGATAAACGTGCAAGAAGCTGCAGTAATTACTAGTAACAAAGGGGATCGCGCTTTTAGGAACAAGTGCATCGCTATTAGTAGCTATGATGTCAGCTATATCAGCTATGTAATATTTTTGTGAGTGTGCTGTAAGATTCAGCATACAGTTTCTGCGGCCAAAGTGGAGTCAGCATACAGTTTCCTGGAGGCTCATGACTCATAAGTGACTAATTTCCAGAAAACTCTCAGGCAAAAAACTCTATGAGGATCCATAGGATCCACATGCCTTCTCAGAAGGTACGACTGGAACCCCCATGCCGACCTTCACAGTGTCTCCAAATCACCTTCTCAGAGGGTATGTGGCGTATGCGGATCCATACTGCATAAAAGTAGATCAACATTTGTGTCATGTCGCATGTCTCTAGCAAACCGGACGACCCATGTCGTTTGCACAACATGTCACCTGTCTGTGTCTCCGTGGTCCGGTCCATAGATACGGTAGTGAGTGAGTGAGAGAGTGAGAGTCCTGAACGAGTGAAGAGGTTGATCTCCAACCATGCGACCCTGAGCATTGTCCACCAGAAAAAAAGAAACACCTTCCAACCCGTGTTTTTTGATTCTTGCTTTCGGGAGACATCCTACAAGCATCGAATCGAGACTACAAACACCAATAGTATTATATAAGATGGATGGATGGACAATAGATAGATCATATAGGTGTTGGAAAATATCTGGCCCAATTCTTACACTCACCCCAAAACGCTTCAAACGCTCAGGGGCTCCTCTGATATCCGTTTGAGTCCCTTTCAAGTTTTTTTTGGTGCTGGTTGGTGGTTTCAAAGATGGTCAGTGGGATCGACATGGATCAATCATCTCTAGTATGAAACCTTTTACTTTGGAGATAGGTAAAGGATGGTAGAGGTATGTAAAGGTTGGTAAGGTTGCTAGATAACCATAGATAACCTCAGTATCTATCAGCAGAGCTTGGCCGTTTCCACCCAGCTTGCCCCACCGCTGTCACACAGCGGCGCCTCGTGGGGTGGTCGCGCCGCTGGCTGCGGCGGCCAAGGGCAAGGCCGGTAAGGCCGAGGGGAGCCCCCCTTGCCGGACATCGAGGTGAAGGAAAAGGTTGGTTAGAGGTCAAAAAGTCGATGTTCCATCTTCAGCGGGGGTCGACAGCAAAGCCCTACCCTATATCTGGGTGGTGGTTGGTTCGTTGGTGGTCTATTGAGGTTCCCAAAATGATAGACAGGCACGACTGATGCGAGAATATGTTTCTGCTATGAAATCTTGGTGTCACTACAAGCCATTAGCGCACGTGTTCTTAATCCAAATAACTATATAGGTCAATGGTCTAATTTCAGACGACTTCACACTACGGCGATCCAGCCCAGGAAGAAAAGGGAACCATCCAACAAAATCAAACAAGGCTGGCTGAGTTCCAACTCGTATACCCCAGTTGAACCACCATGTGCCACCCAAACCGGCCCTCCCGTTCGGCCGGGGCTCTTCTGGGAGGACAATGGGGGGGGGGGGGGGGTCCAAACCCTCGAACGACCCACCAGCTAACCGGATCTCGTGGCGCCAAGACCCCCCCCCCCCCCAGCCACAGCCACGAACGGACCACGTTCGCACCTCGGATGCCTTCGAAACTGCTTTCAAGCTCCGCCCAGCGGGCCTGGGACCGTCCGTTCACGGCTCTCGGTGTTCACAAATGGAACCATGTGGAGATGGATGAGACCCCGGAAATTCAACCTTGGCACAAGGCCAGCACATGTGCTCGAAACCCTCATTTCGGCGCCCTGTAGCGATTTCGGTGTGAGGACCAACTGCTGGGATGGGCGGAGGTACTACAGAACAAAAGAAACATGCACCACGTGGAACGCACATTACCCAAAAAGTGCCAAAAGGATTCTCCCGTCACAGACTGGGCCTTGCTTCTTTTCGTCAAAACACGAGCTTTCGCAAACCCCACTGGCCCAGTCCACCAATGCTGCGCAGCTCGTGCACCAAAGGTGCATCGTCTGGTTTGTGACTGATTTCCTAAGTATATAGCCCGGATTATATTTAATAGTATTACAGGGCCCGAGAAGAAAGACCACATGGCAGGACAAACGTGTAGACACAGCGACCTGACACGGCGGTGAACGTGTCCGGGCGCTATGGTAGGCCAAACAGCCCTTTTGTTCGTAAGAGAGAACTCCAAAGGGTCGTTTCCGTTGTTTTTGCGGGGATGCCATGGTAGGCTTTGTGGGTGTGCTTTGCCTTCCATGGTAGGCTTTGTGGGTGTGCTTTGCCTTCCCTGGTGACATGCCGTGCCGGCTTGTACATGTTTCATCTCACTTGAAACATGGACACATGATGTCCTCTTCACTCACACCGGAACAGGGCAGGTTGAAATGAGTAGACTGTCGCTTACGCAAGCTACCCCACCACGGGACCTATATATAGATTCAAGTCCCAGTCGCTGAGGAAGGCTCTGGATATGCGGCCAAGAGATGGTTCCGCAAGGCCAACCTCGGTGCCGTCCCAGCGGGGCTTGTCACCCACCTTGGCAAAGAATGATGTCCTGGTACGGTCAATAGCTTGTCCAATGGATGGCCTATAGTCAAGCCCCCACTGGCACTCACTCCTTTCATGTGAAGTTGGATCTACTGCAAAACAGCACAGGCACTTAGTGAGTAGTTTTTTCGTGGAAATGTACCGCGTAGCCACCGCGAAGTCTACATTTGCAGCTTTATAGCTTTGCGTAGCCTCCACGTAGGGGAACTACTACGCGTAGGCGCCACGTAGCCTACCTCTGCAGTAAAAGCGACCTCGCGTAGCCTCTCGCGGAGTTACCCTTACCGCGTAGCCAGCGCGTAGCCTACCCTTCAGCAAGTGCGGCCTCGCGTAGCCTCCGCGAAGGCGATTAAAAAAACACACGCTGCTCACTTGACGCCGTCGCAGCTGAGCTCCTAAAGCAAATCCTCGCTTTTCTACGATACTATACCCATCTTGTCCTTTGCCACCCTGCTTGTCCAGATTGTCAACAAAACCACACATCCAAAGCAATTCTTCTCAACTAGTTGAGCTTGCAATTGCGTGTTCCATGCTGCTAGCCCCCTCCCTGCAGGTGCGTGTTCGTGCCATGCGTGGATCTCGCCGTCTCTACGGGCACGAGTTGACCATCTGGGATTAAACTTAACTGTCTGTCAAATGCAACTATATTGGCACTCACACAGCTCGCTCTGCAAGCGACACCTTGCAACTGCTTGGATGCCATGGACACAAGAGATTGCTCGAAACAAATCCGAATCAGTAGGCCTCCAACACCAACACTTATTTGCAGGACCTCACAGCAAACATGGAAGCTGGTACAGCCAAATGAACAGACTGCGTAGGAGCGTAGGACCTAGTCGCACGAACAAGCTGTCCAACCAAAACACATTGGACAACATCACAATAATTCTGTCCCTAGGGCCCTAGGGCTCCAAGTACCTCCTCAGAAGGTGTTTGGACCCTCCAAACCCACCCCAAACACCTTCTCAGAAGGTACTTGGAGCCCTAGGGTGTTGGATTCAAATCGCCTAGGAGGTGGACCTCGGCTTCCCTATTCGATACCAGGGACACATTTTTGCCGTGACATTCGAGGCCAAAAGGGAACCCTTCATTCAATGGTGTGAATTCCAAAGAGGAGTTGGTAGTAAGTAAGGATTTAAGTAGAATGGCGTCCAACCTAATAGTGATGGCCTTCAACCTAATAGCAATAGTCTCCATTCAAATAGCAATGGCCTCCAACCTAAAGGCGATGGCCTCCAACCTTAATAGCAATGGCGTCCAACCTAATAGTGATGGCCTTCAACCTAATAGCAGTGGCCTCCAACCTAATAGTGATGGCCTTCAACCTAATAGCAATGGTCTCCATTCATATAGCAATGGCCTCCAACCTAAAGGCGATTGCCTCCAACCTTAATAGCCATTGTCCAACCTAATAGTGATGGCCTTCAACCTAATAGCAATGGTCTCCATTCAAATAGCAATGGCCTCCAACCTAATAGCAATGTCCTCCAACTTACTAATTAGATCTAATTAGCGATGCCCTCCAACCTATAGCAATCTGTCCCAAGCGAGACAATCTCCTTTCTAGCCGACCTACGGGGCTTGGCCTCACCGAAAGTGCCTGACGAACTTCTACCTCGTGTCGGCAGCAAGATCCAGCAAAAAACAAACTGCACCGATGCTGCTTGCGGCTGTAAACAAAAACAACTTCAATTGACTTCCTCAAATGAAACATGGTCTTTGACACTGGGATCTGAAAATATGGTACCCGTCATGCCATCGCAGTATCCAATCCAGGTGTCACGAAACAACTAAAACGGAGCCCTTTGGCTGGTCCCAGCTTAGGCATACTATATGGATGCGTAGCTCAGTCAATTAGATGCGAGACCAACCCCCCAACATCGACCCTCTGGGTTCGGTTCTGGCAACGACCCATCTTTCCAGCCAGGGCTGAGAAAGGGGGTCTCGACTGGGGTCTCGCTATTCAACTACACCATCTAAGTCCACTGCAGGGGGAGCCCCTTTTGGATGCAGCTTGTGTGGCAGCGCGCCAAGAGGATTCACGGATGCAAGGCAGAATTTTATTCCAATCGCTCCCCAGATCTGCGCCCAAAGTCCCATCGTGTCCCTGTGAACAGCAACACCTGTTCTTCAAAGAGAGCAGGGTTTTTCTCGAAGGCACAATGAAGCATCCAGAAACTGCGCATAGGATTCTTTGTCCATGGCGGTCATGACGTTTGAGCGTGCGATGCGCCGTTCGAGCGGTTGGTCGAGCGAGATGTCGGAGTAACTGGTGCAGGGACCGTTTGGCCCACGACATGAGAGTATTTTGTGTACATGATGTTCATGTGCCGTTCGACTCTGAAGAAATACTGTCGTCTGCAAAGCAAAAGGCAATCGTTTCCAAATCCATCCAGAACCACCAAGACCTTCAAAAGAAGGTGCTACTGATGATTGTTTTGTGTCACATCTGTCAACATCTGTCTGTCCTGCGTGAATGCGATCTGATTGTTCTAGGGGTGCCTGTCTGGTGTAGGAAAGAAAAAAAGGCCACACTTGAGAACATGTTTCTTTGAATCTCGTCTACAACCCATCAATCTCTCCAAAACATGTTGGTCATCCGGGTCTTCTTTCTCGGGAGAAACAACTTGAGCTCCAGCCATTGAGACTCGCAGAAAAACATGCAGGAGCGCTCCAGCCATGTGGCAAGCTGTTGAAGTTAAAGGTGCAGGACTTGGCATCAGTGAATCCCAGTTTCTGCATGTATACCCTAGGGATCCACATATCCTCTGAGGTGATTGGAGACACTGTTATGTAGGTTTGGAGTCCAACAATCATGGAAGTGGACGGAAGAACTCAGAAAATATAAACATGAAATCCGAATATCAAACAAAAGATGAACTCACTCCACTTCCATGCTTGTTTTCAGGGAGGGTCGGCTTGCCCACCTGGAACAGTCGAGTTGGACTCGATCCCGAATTTGAGGGTCCGGAGTCTGAAGGCAGGCGTTGTTTGGCCCACCGACCCAGATGATACAGAATCACTAGAAGATACTACAAGTAGGCAGGCTGTCACACAAACAGGTGCCTCCTAAGTTTAAGTCAAACAGTCAAACCCAAAAGTGCGCACACGGTCTGTTTTGGATGAACTCAAGAACTAGTTTGCTCCTGCTCCTGATTTTTCATCATCCCATATGAGCAAGACGAGCAAGACAAGTACTCATGTCGTTTCGATCAGATCAGAAATCTTGACAAGGTCGCACGAGGATTCACCAGGTGTCTGTGGGGTTCTAGGTTGGAGGCCATCGCTATTAGGTTGAATGGAGGAAGAGATCAGCACGCAAAGCAGTTCATGAATCCTCTCAGCCTCTCAGCTGGTGGGAAAGTGAACCCGTGGGCTCCTTCAAACAAACAAAACGGTGCATGGAGGGTGTCCAAACATGGGAACATGATTGCTCATTGCTCATGTTAAAGGAACTATACCAGGACCCTGCGACAGGTCACCAATTGAGACCTGTTAGGGTCCAACAACCCTCAACTAACAGCCTGTTGGAGGGTGCTGGTATACTCCAGTTGATAGAAACATTGCCTTCAAAATGCACTTTATCCAATCCCATCTTTGGGAGGGAACTCCGGAAACGATCAACTCTGCAGTCTAGATGGCTTGTTTTGTCTGGACCTGTGCACTGATTGTCTTTGACTGGTCTCCAGTAGGGGAATCGACATGCCAGTATTTCACTGATTTAGGTTGATCCTGGTGGGCTAACGAGCCAAGTAGTTGCCATTGCTTTCCATCCCCAACCCCTCTGTCAAAACCACGTGTGAGGCCACACACATTCCAAACCCTGCCACAAAGGTGACCGGTGGTTGTTGAAGTCGTGTCCCACAACCTTCTCAGAGGGTATGTGGACCCTCATAAACATAAACTGTCGAATGACAATGTTTCGTTCATGCTCGATCCATGCCCAATGTTCCGATTTGGAGCGTTCTTCTTGGTTTAGATTCCAAGGATTATTGGAAGTCAAGGTCTTGACCCTCCCAAATACATCCAAATACACATCTACCACCTGCGCACTCTTTGTCGCCTGACACGGATGCAGTCAGTGTCTCTACAGCCTATCGATGCCTTACAATTGACTGCATCTGCAGTCGGCACGGTGCACATTGACAAGCATTAACAATCAAAGGCCTTTGGGCCTCCATCAGGCTGGGTGTTCTCTTCTCCAAAACTCAACCGTGGCGTCAAAGGGTGTTTCATTGTTTTTCAATGTGGTGAGTGAACAAAAATATCTCCCATCACAGGGGATGGAAACCAAGCTAGCGTGTGGGAAAAGACTCAGATGTCCTACCCCTCAATAAAACAAGGTCGCTGTGCTCTTTCTTCAGGTTCCCAACTTCGGCTTAGTTTTGGGGAGGGTATCCCATCACTCTGGCCACTGGCTCAGCCCACTTGTCGCGCCACCGCTCCTGCAGAAAAAGGAATGGACCCTGTGGAAAGTGACCCTGTGGGCAAACCAGACAACCAGTTAAGCCCCTCAAAAAATCCGTCACGATCCCCTCGAAATCATTTCACCGAAGTCGTTCTTGTTCGCGTCGCGCTGTGTCGCAGTGTCGCGGTGTCACCCTGTCATGGTGAGCTGCAGGTGATCCACATTTGTAGGCAGCCGCTGAACAGAATGCCAAGAGGTGTCGCACCGTCGGCCGAGAGGTATCGTTATAGAGTGAATCAACAACCCACGGAGCCACTGAAGAACTGGCAGGTCGAGCGCGGTGAACCCCGGCACCGTCGATGGATGTATTGTTTCATCCGCTAGCTACCCGCTATTGGTTGGTATCATTGTTGTGTCTTGCACGGGATCACGCATGATCCCAACATAGATCAAGCAACAGCTCTGGCCCAAAATCCAGGCTTGGCCTATGGACTTTTCGCGTACACAAACGAATGAGAAATGATTCTAAGGGGTTGGACACAGACCTACCTCGTTGGTGAAAGACGCTGACTGCCGGGTCGGTTAAACCCTTTTCCACATGGATCTTCTGACAGGTCGGGTGTCCCCAATCCCCTGAACATCATGTTACATTCAATTTAAGAATACCCATTCACTGGGACCCATAGCACTGCTGACGGAGGATCCTCCGTTCGTCTGTCTTTGGACCTGCCGACCTCCGAACGCCCGGAACGGTCGGAACGCTGGCGCATCGCCCAGACCTGGCGATCTGGGACTTCGCGCACCTGGAGCAGTGAGGTTTGATCCCGGACTAGCAGTGGAAGGTGTAAGGAAGAGTGGCTTGAAGGTGTAAGTGGCTTGTGAAAGAACAAAGGTGCTTCTATTTTCCGAATCAACATGAGATCCCACGGCTCTTTGCGACTTGTAGCAATGCTCCGAACTGCAAACGACGAGAGGCATGGGTTTACAGTAAAGTCTTTTTCACCTGTTCAAGTTTTTGTCTGTGCTGTTTGGTTGGAGGCCGCTGCTGTTAGGTTGGAGGCCATTGCTGTTAGATTGGAGGCCACTGCTGTTAGGTTGGAGGCCACTGCTGTTAGGTTGGAGGCCATTGCTGTTAGGTTGGAGGCCACTGCTGTTAGGTTGGAGGCCACTGCTATTAGGTTGGAGGCCATTGCTGTTAGGTTGGAGGCCACTGCTGTTAGGTTGGAGGCCTTTTCTTTTAGATTGGAGGCCACTGCTGTTAGGTTGGCAATTGCTATTAGGTTGGAGGCCACAGCTGTTAGGTTGGAGGCCACTGCCGTCAGGTTGGAGGCCACTGCTGCTAGGTGGAGGCCATTGCTGTTAGGTTGGAGGCCACTGCTGTTAGGTTGGAGGCCACTGCTGTTAGGTTGGAGGCCATTGCTGTTGGGTTGGAGGCCACTGCTGTTAGGTTGGAGGCCATTGCTGTTAGGTTGGAGGCCAGTGCTGTTAGGTTGGAGGCCACTGCTGTTAGGTGGGAGGCCATTGCTACTAGGTTGAAGGCGTTTTTCCATGTCACTGAGGTTCTCTCTTTCCACCCACCAGTCCAACAGTCCTCGTTGGCCCGCAGCCCACGCTCCATCGCGTGTTGTCGAGTGCACACCTTCGCAACGAGCAACGGAACGAGGTTTCCCGCGGTTGACCGGGAAGGTCCCAAAGAATGACGACGACGCTTGAAGTCAGCCTGAAGTCTAAACTGGGATTGAACTCTGAACTTTCAAAACATCACTCCCCCTACACCTCCAGTCGTACCTCCTCAGAAGGTATTTAGACCCTCCTGGCACCCACCCCAAACACTTTCTTAGAAGGTACTTGGAGCCCTAGGGTCCATATGTACAAAATCGTTGATTGCATATTGTTTTTGGAAATTGCCAGAGATTCCATGGAACTGGGAGGGCACCGGTGCCGAGGCCTGACTCCACGGACTTCTCCACTGGGGCGACCCTCACAAATCCGGCTCAGATTGCATCACACAGATCGCCCCTAAGATCGATCCAGCCAGCCTAAGGAACAAGAAATAACAGGATCACAACATGAATACCAAAGACATAGAATGCTCACAGGAAAACCAGGCTGGGTGGCTGGGTGGAAATGTTGCGGGTGTGACTGATCATGATTTTATTCTGATTAGTGGACACCAAACACTTATTTCCTGCTCAAGACGATGGTTCGCCAGAAAAAACAGTGCTTGACTGGAAGGTCAGGTATGTTCATGTGAGGGAACCATGGATGCTTAATGTTTACCTATAAATAGGCCTCCTTACACTTGTCCCGCAACAAAACTCCACTATCCATCAGCTTGCCATGGCAAACATTGGGGGCACTAGTGCACCTTCGACCTTGGACCCCCCAAAAACGGGACACCGCCATGGTGCAAGGATTGTTCAAACAAACATGGTCCCCAAGAACTTCTCTTCTACCAGGACCCTCCAAAAGGTGCCGTCTGGAAGCCTATATATAGGTAGTGTGGGGTAGTTCATTGGCCTTCTTTGGAGATCGTCTCAGAACGCCTGACCCAATTCCTCTGCCGCTCTCTGCGACGCCTCTGCCACGTCGCCGGCCAACGAGGTGAGCCGCAACTCCACCTGAGAGGGTTTCCAGAGCGGTCGGATGCGGAGGTTTTCGGAGTGACCCCGTTGAGGTGGAGGGGCACAGGTAGGTGGGGTAGGTGGTGTGGCAGGTTGGTGTCCCAAACTGTTTGGATCCCTGGAAAATATGGGGTAAAACCGAACGAACTCCACCTGTTCTTGTTGAGTGGTGTCCACCATTCCCTCGAAAAAGGTTGGGCAGGGGATCCACGGACTTCCACGGACTAGTCTTCGACCAATCACGGGAGGCAGATGCTCCAGGTTCATCGCAGCCTTCAAAGAACCTTCCCAATTGACTAATTTCATCCAGTTGCCGCCCACAAGGGATCTTCATGACTTCTGACCTGCACATGTATGCCTCGTGCCTTGGATGAAACGCTTCTTGCAGTCGTGATCCATTCTTTTGGCAAATAAGAAGAACCAGGAAAACCCTCTGGCACTTTGCCGATTCAATTCCTCCCAAATGCCTGGCTACCCGTGAGTAGATTTGATGTCCCTCATACTGGGTCTTGAACTGAGCTTTGCATCTGCTCAAACCTGCGACGTCGCTCGCTGAAGAAGGCTCGGGATATCCTATTCCTCAGCTTTGCTGAGAAGAAAACTATTACAGTATGTATGTTACAGTACACTAAAAACCAGCTCTTTCAAATTGATCCTTTTTGAAGCCTTGCTTAATGACCCCTTTACAGGTCTAAGTGACCTCAAACCAAAGGATTATTAGGTGAAGAACCAGGAACCGACTCTTGTTCCACTGGTCCCAAAAACAAACGATATTGAAAAAACAAAACTTGGAACAACGACAAAATGAGGCTGCATGTTGATGCTCACCTCCACCTGGGTGTGACGTAGAATTATGATGCACACCTTATTTCTAATCTGTCTCTAACCTACTTCTTATTTTTTTCAGAAGCCGGTACGCATCAAAATTTCAATACTGGACTGATGTGTATATATAGTCACTACAAGTAAGATCCTCTTCGGAAGTGGCCTCTTAAAACCTTAAGCAGGTATGTGTAGTTCACCGCCAAATCACCACACGATTCTGCCAGAGTACACAGATTCTGCGGCAACGAGGAGCTACAGCTCATCTCACCATCCCACTAGGAACCAACGCCAAGTTCACCAATTCACCCAAGTTCACCACCCAAACGCTCCGTTCACAGCCCAACTGGTCCCTCAAAAACCAGGGGATTTGAGATCGGTCCAGGAGCCTCTGGGCGGCACAAGCTGGCTGAAGGTGTCATTCACATTTCAAGTATTTTCATCCCCATCGAATCTTATTGGAATCGAGGTTTTGGGATGTTTTGGAGAGGGTCTTTGGACTTGCCCCTGTCTTTGCCAAGGGTTTTCTCTTCCAAGAACTTAGCCGCATCCAATGCAAGAGTGTTTCCGTGGCCTGCTGGAACATGCATGTTGTTGTTTTTATCTTTCCCTACGAACTCTTCGAACATCACCAGGGATAGGGATATTGTTGGTCCGAAAAAAACACTAAAGGGGACCCCGACCAGATCAAACCGGCACCGCACGTGCTCGATGCGTGAAAACGACCCAAAGCGTCTCACCATCATGCGATCCGCCAGGCCCGGGCCTCAAGCGCAGAGCCACTCCACCACGCCCAGCAGTGTCAATACCTAGCTCCACCTGGAATTTGCATGGAATGTGCACTTGTTGTCATGCCAATAAAACTGAGGATTCCAGGTGATTTAATGTTGGATCCTGATTACTAATAGGGCCCTGTATAATGTTAAAATTTTCAAAAATACTTCTGGACACCATGTTTGTTTTAAGGCTCCTCTATTATGCCAATCCTTTTGGGGATCCTGATTTGTTTTAATATCTGAAAACAATGAGCATTTCAAATCCTTCGGAGACCTGTGAATACTGAGTTAATGACTGGCCTCCTGAGAGTATTGAATAGGTCTCTCTAGTTCTTCTTCAAAACTCACAGCTTCCCGAAGCCATCAATTCCTTAATCAATCCTTTATGTAAAGATTGTTCCTAAACAAATTTTCAAGGTAGTAGACCAGGAAGGCCCCTAATCCTCAATAAAAAAATTGCTTTAAGGGTCCTCAATTGTGCAAAGTTTTCCCTGAATAGAAGCAAAACTAGTAGTTCTTAATACTACTAAACCAATGGCTGGCTTGCTGCAAGTATTGATAAGTATAGGTTTCTCTAGTTCCTCTTCAAAGCCGTAGAGAAGCTGAGAACCTTCTTTGTCCTCTTCTTAGTAGTATGAAAGGATTGCTGAGAACACCTAATTACAAAGAACCTGAGAAAAAAATGAATACTACAATCATCCTCCGAGCAGCTCAGTTGGAGGGGGGTCCCTTTTACTAACCAGAATCTAGCATTATTGATGGGCGATGGTTCACAGTCCAGTCAAGCAGACTTCGAGACCAAAGATGCCACACCTGCAACTACTATACCAACGCAAGAGTCAACGCTTGCCAGTACCAGCTCTCGAGTAGATTGTGTTGGCGCAGCCGTGCTCTCATTCGCGCAACACACTTAGATATAAAGCTCAACGGGTCGAGCACCTACTCAGTTGCTGAATCCGGATGCACTAGACAGTTACTATACTGCATTAGTACGTCGGCGCACTCTGAAAAAGCCCGCTACAACCTAACAAGCCTCTGGCAACGGAAGGGAAACCTAGAAAGAGAAACGAGAAAGGGAGAAAGCATCTCTAGAAAGAACCCAGCTCTCACTTGACTGAAAAAACCTGGTTACACCCCTAGAAAGCCTCTAGAGGAGAAATGAGGGGTAAGGTTGGGGTAGTGTGTGGGGTGGGGTGGTCGACTAAACGAGCCTGAAGAACTATAACAAGCCTGAAGAAAAAGACCTAACAAACGAAGAATACCCATGAGAGAAAGGGGGTGTGGGGGTGTGAGGTGTGGGTGTGTGTGGGTGTGTGTGGAACCCTTGGAATCACAGGGAGTCCGTTGATTTTCCAAGCAGAGGGTCAAGGCGCGATATCACCAACCCCCCTTGACCAACGCAGCTGGGTGATATCGCGGGATGTGGGACTTGGCCAGTCCCACGTACCTGCTTTGGTTTGTGAATGTTGTAACTACCGACCACTCGTAGAGGTACAAGGCTGTTCAGGGAATCAGGTTGGCATTTTTTTTGCGTCTTGTGGGCCTCCAAACCTGTAGCGAGGGCCTTCAACCTGGTTGCGATGGCCTCCAACTACTAGCCATGGCCTCTAACCTTGGCTGTCCTGCAGTTACATGTCACCAACCTACTAGCGATGGCCCCCTGCTTTCGATGGCCTCCAGCCTAACAGCGATGACCTCCAACTTTGGCTGTTTTGCAGTTACATGTCACCAACCTACTAGCGATGGCCCCCAACCTGCTTTCGATGGCCTTTAACCGAAGAGCGATGGCCTCCAACGTACTCTTGTCCTCGGTTTTCTTAGGCGTTTATACCTAGGTCGCCGTGTGGCAAGTGGCATTCAGTTCCGTACGCATTTTCATAAGTGTGTCTCTCCTCAGTCAGAGCCCAGGGTGTACCCGAGGAGTGTTCGCTGTGGCCGGGGCTTTGTCTACGTTTCCATTGCTTGGAAACAGAATAGCTCGCAGCGAGCGTAGGAGGCTTCCGCTAAAGTTATTTGCCAAGACTTGACCAAGTATTGCATTCGAGTAGGCAGCACTCGAGCAAGCCATTAGGTGACCATAGTGGTCCAAGCTGCCCGCTATTTTGGCATGGCACAAGGTGACCAGCCGCTTCTTCCCTTCTCTTTCTCTTTCCCTTTCTCTTTCACTTTTACCTCTCTCTCTCCCTCTCTCTCTCTCTCTTTTTCCCTGCTCTTCCCTCCTCCTTTCTTTCTTGCTTGGGCATCCCTGGATGCTTCCGCCATAGCTGGGAACCCTCTCATCTTGTCTTGGTGTGTCCTTGGACGCTTGAGTCCTAGCTGGGAACACCATGATTTCTTTTCCTTTTCTTTTCATCTTTCCTTTCTTCTTTCCCTTCCCCTCCTTCTTCGTGCGCAGCGTGCCTTACAAGCACACTAGGCAACTACAACAGGTATCTTAATGAGGCTCGGCTTTTCATCGGCTTGTCCGCTTTCATTTGGTTCCCTCTTCATTGGCCGCCCGCAGGCGTCTTTTCCTTATTTTCTTTCATGTCCTTTCTGTCTTCATGTCCCGTCATCCTCATCCTTTTCTTCTCTTGCGCGCACTTCTGCCCAGACCTTATCTTGCGCATACACGCACGTGTGTTCCACACCAAAGTAGGTTCAGGTGCCCCAGGCTTGTTACAGTGAGGTTTGGTTCATTGGTTGTCCCTCTTCACGCGGTTTCCCTTCATCGGCAACGACATACACTCTTTTGTCCGTCTCGCCTCTTTCATGTTCATCTGTCCCTTTTGCGCGCGCATGTGTTCGCGTAACCGCCTTTCCGGACAGGATGCAGGTGCCAGGCATGTGTGTGTGGAACGCTTGGAATCACTGGTCACAAAGGAGTGTGTTGATTTTCCAAGCAGGGGGTCCAGGCACGAGATCACCGACCTTGACCAACGAGGCTGGGTGATATCGCGGGATGTGGGACTTGGCCAGTGTGTCTTGTGGGCCTCCAAACCTGTAGCAAGGGCCTTCAACCTGGTTGCGATGGCCTCCAACTACTTGCGAGGGCCCCTAACCTTGGCTGTCTTGCGGTTATACATGTCACCAACCTACTAGCGATGGCCCCTCAACCTGCTTTCGATGGCCTCTATCCTAAGGCCTAAGAGCGATGGCCCTTGGCCTCGGTTTCTTAGGCGTTTATACCTAGGTCCCATGGCAAGTGGCATTCAGTTCCGTACGTAAGTGTGTGAAAGACGCAAGCCAAGTCTGGGGCCCTCCGGCCTGCCATTGGACAAAGAAAAGACGAACCATCACCACCATCACTGGCAGATAGCCCAAGCATTGACCTAGCGATGCGCAGCTGCTCCGCTGCAGGTGAATACACAGGACGCCAAGGTGAATCGCGGCGAGAGGGGCGCAGGAAGCCATGACACTCACAACCCTCAGCCCAAGAAGAAAAGTCATTGCTCAAGGCATGCAAGTGCACAAGCATCTCAGAGTAGAACCACCATTTGTCTGATCTGATGGCAGCTGTCAATTTGTCAACATCCAAGGTGGCAGCGTCATCTGCTCGAAGCTCAGAGCCATCCCCGGTTCCCTCTTGAAGGAACCGATCAGGGTGCCACACAGCTCGCAAAGCGTCTTTCCGCTCGAGCATCAATAGAAGGATTGCAGAAATATTTCCCCACCTCCATTCAATTGGCTTTTGGCACGCCTGTCTTGAAATACTTTTCAACCTACTCAAAAGTAGTGCCTTTCACGCAAAAAGCTATGAGCCGTTGTCTCAAGTGATCAGCATGAAGCAAAAGGCTCAGAGATTTGAAAGGTGGCAGCCATTCATTCCACCAGCTAGGCGACTTGTCAATTTCCTTGGTCATGTTGTTGCATATGTGCAAAAATACCTGGCGACAACCAAGCCTTGGGGAACAGAAAACCGGGGCTATCAGACTCTGCAACAGGATCGGCAAATCGTTCTTCACTCTGGAGATCGGTCTCCAAGCCATGGTGGCAAAATGTTTTCAACACGCACAGCCTCAAAATCGAAGATTCCCATTTCCACACCCATGTCGGTGCACCGCACCCGCGACAAGAAGCGCCTCAAGCCGTCAACTGATTGGGCCTCGGCGTAGAACTTCCTGCGTAGGCTGAAAATTTTGTATTCTAAGTCCCCGCCCCGCCCCCCAACGCCTGCGGAATATGTCGATGGTTGACAATGCAAGATTTCAGGGTCAAGCCGGCTTGATGGCGTTGGCGAGCAATGTCAATAATTTTCTCTTGGTCGTTGCAATTGCACGCACGCATGAAATCTTCGACCGAATTCCGAAGATAGCCCGAAGCATCTGAACTCTTTTGCAAATCTGCTTTCTTAAGCATGTTATGATTGGCAAAAGCCAGTCGGGGGATGAATCACACCAGCAATACAGGGGTCCATCATATTAATATTGCAAAAGCCTATCCCGCCACACAACAGTAAGCTGCGTCAACTATAATTTGTTTGCGGCTCAAGGATGGTCCAGATGCGAGCTGTACCTTCAGGTCTGCTTTCATGCCAGGAAACACCGTGTCTATGGCCATACACACAGTGTTTCGCCCCGAATCGGCACCTCTTCAAGGTACAGCAAGAACTGGCGGCTCAGGAAGGCTTTCAACCGGTCCTAAAATGCTGGGGGCCACGTTTGCAGGGATCTTGCTGATTCGTAAAGCGTCTTCGCCTGAGAACCCCAAAGTCGGTTGTGGCACCTGAACGAAAAGAAACCCTGCTTGTTTTAGCCGAGAATGCCAATCGTGCATGCCCTAATCTTTAGCAAAGCGCAAGTACGCTGATCCTCGGCTCCTGTTGTGCCAAGAAGCTTGCAAGAGCAATCTGCTCTAGGCCCCTTGCTCGACTAGCTCTAAAGCAGGTGGTGGCACCGCCAAACAAACAGGCTCCGCAGCAACTTGTGAAAAAAAAAACCTTGGAGACACCCCACGCACGCAAAAGAGCTGGGTTGTCTAAAGCATGCCCATGCGCAGGAACCACATGCCCCACTGTTGCTGACAGGGGCCTCGGAAGACCAGATCAAAGCCTTTAACTTTGCTGCGCTGCACAACAACGGGCTGCTGCAAACGAACTGCCTTTAGAATCTGCACCCCTGCTGCTGCCCCAAAAGGCCTGCCACATGATTCCCACAAAATTCCTCTTCATGTGTCCATGGAGTGAGGGGCCCGTCATAACACTTCAAGTGCCCCACTTGCACAATCACATCGCACAAGCATGTGTTCAATGAATCTGTGTCTTCACGAGAGGGTTTCTTCAAAAGACGTCCAGCTTGTGTTCCCTGACAACACTCAAAAACCATGGTGTGTAGATTGTGCTTCGGCTTTTGGTCCCCCATCTAATGTCTTGTCTCGCTTTCCATTCCATGAGCACAGGGCCAGGAGTGGCATTTAGCCCTGTGGGGGAAGCTGGCTGAAAACAAACGTTTCTGTGCTTTGGCACTGTGTCAGGAATTAAGGTTGGTTGGTTGTTGGAAACATCGTGGGAAAGGAGGGTGGCTCTGACCGACAATGATTGATTCCATCAATTCTATTTGAGCAGTTTGTTTTATGTTGTAAGCCGAAGAAGGAGCCATTGAGCCAAACGCAAAACGTGCTCAAAGCCAAAGCATTGCAGTTTTTGTCACAACATGTCCTAACAAACTTTCACTGAGGATGAATGAACAACAAAGATCAACAGAAGGAAACATGACAACAGCCAGCAAAGAAGCACAACACTAAGCACGGGAGGATGAACACAAGGTGACAAGCGGCTGACAAGCACAAGCCTCTTGCAACACACACAAAATCACAAACGGGCGTCCAACAAAGCACAATGGAAATTCTGCAGTGGGGGTCGACCAAACGAGCCTGAAGAACAACCTAACAAGCCTGAAGAAAAATACCTAACAAACGAAGAAAGCCCAGGAGAACACGCAAGAAGGTGAAAAAGAGGCTTAAAAAGGGAACCATTGCGTGAATTACTCAAAAGCGTGCATGAGTTACTCAAGAGATGTACAGTAACCCTATGCAATTCTGGATAATCTTCCCGTCAGTTATGGTCACCTTTCCGAAAAGGAGTGAAGTCAGCGCCCCGAAGGGATCACACGGCACACCACAGTGGGACGATGCCGCTGGACACACTTAGATATAAAGCTCAACGGGTCGAGCGTTCATTCAGTTCTGAAGCACTAGACGGTTACTATAATATATAATATATATTTATATATACTGCATTAAACGACCTGGCAACTCACCTGTGGAAATGGCCCTGCGCACAACTGCGAAAAGGTCAGCTAAACTTAACTAGTAAATGGTTTGAAACAAATCCACTCAAAGCTGCAGGTACGTCGATCCAGCGTCCTGGATCGAAGTCACAGACCAATGCAAGTATCTTTGTTAGTGGCAGACTTGCAAATGGTCCCTGGCACCCCCTGCTTGTAGTTCAAAAGTTAACCATTCAAGACAGGGTGACACACACACAGAGCACCAAGTGAAGTGAGATAGTTGTGATTGCGAATGACGGGAAGATGTTGTCCGCACGCGCAACAAGCAGGAATCCAGGGCAAAGAAGAAGCAAGTGACAAGTCAAACCTAGTGGATCCAGGTGATAGTCGCTATCACCAGCGGTTCCACAGACTAAACCGTAGACCTAGAAACTCCAGGTTCCTTATATAGTACGAGTAACTGGGATCCACAGGGAAATGCCATGAGCGTCGGTCAAAGCGCTGATGACACCAACGCCAGCGTAGCCTGAAGAACCATGAAGTTCAGTCAGCCAGCTGTTGTCAAAGTGCCATCGCAAACACTTAAAGCATCTTAAAGCCAAAACGGCCTACGGAAATGGCCTGCCGCCCCACAAAAAGAAACATACAACACCAAAAACGCACCAACCGCACTTGATGCAGCACCGCACCGCACCGCAAGAACCAACAGCACAGCGCACCGCGTCCAACGTCGCTCCAGCGTCGCTCGCGTCCGTGCGTCGCTGTGCCTCGCTGAGGCGGGCGAAAACGTCCTCGATGCGCAGGTTCAAGGCGGCCACCTGGCCGGGGAGGAGGGTCTTCGGCTCGGTGGGTAAGGTCCTCGGCTCGGTGGTGGGTTCTTGGACCAACATGAGCTCAGATGAACTCCCAGGTCTTGGGGATTTACATCATTTTTTGGGGGACAAGAAGAACACATCAAGCAAAACCAACTGTGTCTGCTTGGGAAAAAAGAGAAGAGGGTTTTCGTAACGGGATGATACAGGGATGGTATTGGCCAAAAGTCAATGAGTGACTGAACCAATCTTGTGTGTGTGTGTGTGACACAATATTAGTAAGTTGCAACAACATGAACAAAAACACCAATACCTTCATCACAGCTGCCTTCTGCTTCTCCATAATCAAATACTCCAACTATTGAAGGCTCTCAATCTGAAAGCTAATGACCCCTTTTTTTTTGTGAGTCAAGCACATCAACGTTGGGCACCGAAGAGCACAATCAGAGCGTGCTACTGAGCCGTCGAAGAACTGAGCTGTTGAAAGACTCGAAAGGTCAGATGACTAGCGGACCCCCTCCGCTTCCCCGGGAAACATGAAAGGCCAAACTGATATCTAACCACGTATGGGGGGGACACCCCACTCCCCCATAAAGGGTTAAAGAACATCCACTGACTGGGTAGGCCCTGCTATTCTATCTGTAAGTCTGGGGCAGGCCGCATCTGATGGGCCTGGGCAAGACCCTTTGAAGGATTCCATCCACTTTGCTTAGTTTGTTACGACTTTTGGGTCACTTCCCAGCACTCGATCAACACAAACTGCCTAAAGCATGCATCTGACCCCACACAAAGTGCAACAAAGGAAGCTTCTTCAAGACACCCGACACATGTGGTGACGTGACGAAGAACCAGCAAGAACCCTCGCTGATCAGCAAATGACCCCCCAACAAACTTCCATCTTCCGGGCAACGTGGGCACCTCAACAAGCCACCCAACAAACCAACAGCAAACCAACAGCAAACACCATCTGTCAGTACCTTCAGTTCGTGATCTCTTTGTTTGGAGCCTCTATCTGTGACCTCTGGACGAAGTATGGAAGTCTGGATCGAAACTCGTTCGATCTCAAGTTCACAAAGGTGCAAGTCGACACCTTCGGCGGTCACCTTCGGATGATCTTCGGATCGGATGATCTACACTGACCTTCTCAATGATCTGGCATGATCTCGCATTGAACACCGAAACCGCTGGAATATTTGGAATTTGTTCGATCCTAAAACATATGGGACCAAGACATGCGTCCCCAGCTTCTGTTCCAAAAAGCATGTTCAACCCTGAAGGCCACAGGTTTTCCGAAAAGCTCACAACATGACCACAACATATATGTTTAGGGAATACATGTTTGATCTTATGTATAATACCTATATATCATGTAAAATCCCACAGAATTCTCACAAAGGCATCTCTAATTCGTATCTTGGGATTTTGATTTTTACTGTTCCGACCTTGTTCTTTCAACTTAGTGGAGTTGCTTAAAGGCCCCCAAAACGACCCCCGTCTTCTTTTCAGCTCGAAAACAAACGACCCGCGACAGTTGGTCGACCGTGGCCTGCGCCTCCAACGCTCCAACGGCTTCAGCCCGGTGGACCTCTCGTTCAGGAGTTGTTGTTGGTTCCCAGGTCTGGTCCAATTTTGTAGGGATCCAGTCCGTCCAGTCCGGTCCAGTCCGTCCGGTCATTTGCACCCTGGGGGAGCGAAAGCGAACGATTCGTTCAGTTGGATTCAGAGTCGAACTATAGAGTCGATGAGTTGAGGCAGGTCATCCCATTTTTAGGGATCCACTGCGACCTTCTCAGGATCGAAAAGACTCGGGTACCCATAGCGAGACCAGTTACCTCATGAAAATGACCCATCCGTGGAAGAACAGTATTCATTTCATACGATGGACATCCATGGACTGGGCTCTTAAAGTAACGATTCCATAATTCATGGATGGCCAGACCATCTGGCCATGGGGTATAAGTAACTATTACATGTATACGTACGCTATTCCATACATGGATGGTCTATACGCTTTTTCCTCGGCCCAGACCGGAGTGGTGCGGGCCCACAGAAATCCTCCTGACGTGGAGTGAACACCAGCTGTTTGGTCTTCGGAAGTATGGAAAAAATGTAATTATTTCTTTTTTCTCTCTTAAATTACACTGTTGTTTCTCTTAAACACTAGCTGTTTTTTTGTTTTACATTGGTTTTCTCTTCCTTTCGGGGCGCCCATCCACGTCACCCGGAGTATACGTCTCAGGGAGTGCACACGCTCTGTGTGGACGAGTGTCCGGATGGACGAGTGTCTGATGTTCATGAAACCCAGAGTTGATGGGGCAGATGAGAGTAGTAGCTATAGAAGCTACGAGGTGGAGGCCGCTATGAGGTTGGAGGCCATTACTACTAGTAACAAGAAGCTACAAACGTCGCAAAGGAAACAAAAAAGGTCCGACCCTTCCAGCTACCGGGGGTCCTGGGAACCTTTGGAGTGTCGATGTCTGACCTTGGGAATAATAGTGTATATGGTATGCCAGGTATACCATATACATCCATATATCGATTGGTGGTTCACCACCTGTGGTACACCCTCTAATCAACCAAGGCCACTACCAAGGCCATTGTCTTTCAGGGTGCCCAGGTGATGTTCCCTGAAAATCTGGAATCGAACCAATAGAAAAGGTTTGGTTGAGGCTCAACGCCCCGCGGTAGGGTCCATCCCCTACTCCACGAAGAGTGTAGAGGTTCAAACCCCTAGTATGGAGGGTCTTGTCTAGATGGACCTTAACTAAGTGGATAATCCGATTGGTCAACCATTTTCACACGCATCATTTTCGTGGGGTATCTGAAAAGCCAGGAGATGCCAGGGGTGATATACAGGCAAATTCCAGAAACCTGGTGGTGGGAGGTCTTCCAAAAGAGACCCATCTCATCTTGTCTCCAATACACCAAATCCCACGGGATCCTTTATGATAGAGGTAACATCTCCATCTAGAATCTAGAACCTCACCTAACCCTAACCCACTCTGGATGGCCCGCTTGCATCAAAACAGTGGCCAAGTAGCTTCAGGACGTTTCGATGCGTCCATTCAAATAAGGACCATCCTTGAGCAGTGAGGCCACCATGTGATCTTCTTCAATTCACTTCAAGACTTCTCCTCCACCACTGCTCTGCTGAAACACGGCCAGCTTGCTCCCCTCTCCCTTTTTTCACCCCACTCACTCCACCCTCCGCCGCTTCACCGCCGTCTCGCTGCATCTCGAGGTCGTGTGGCTTGCGGCGGCGGCGCGGAGGAGCAGCGACGCGAGCTCGTGATGCCCTTGGAGCGACGCCAACTGCGAAGCTTCCCAACCTCAAACCAGGCATGGAACTGGGAATCGTTTATTATGGCTGGGTCATTTTCATGGGGTCGGTAGATGTGAGGGTCACTTTTTGCAGCCCCGTGGATGGTCTAGGTGGGAACATGTTGGAACGAGTGCAAGTGCGGTTTGAGCGCAGTTTGAGTGCAAATGCGGTGCTACGGTGCTGCGGTCCTTCCTTGCGGTTTCGCGAAGAAGTGGGATGGAACAATTGGGATGCCAAAGGGTGCTTCCTGGTGACAACAGGTGCCCAGAAACCACCTGTTAAGGTCTCCAAACAGCCTGTTGGAGGGTCCTGGTATATATTTATTCTTATTAGTGTCAAACATCATCAATAGGCAGAGATTGTGTGCTTACTACTGCGAGAAACCATCCATTGTCTTCTCAATTCTTCGTACAGTTCAATGATCTCACTCTCTCTCTCTCTCAATATATATTACAAGATCAGGTGCACATGTTGTTCAGGTTGCTAAACATCATTTGTGGGAGTTCCTTGATTTGGTACGGGAGGGGTTAAAGGAAATGTGAGAAGATTAGGGATTTTATAGTACATTTGAGAATGTTCAGGATATATATATATATACATATATATTTAAGCAAATTCAAGATCAAATGTTACGAAAATCAGATGCAATCGGATGCACATCTTGAGTTTTGGTTGCAATTTTAAGAAGAACCATTATCAGCATCGTGCACATGACCAGCATCCCAAGTTGTTTTTTTGGTTAAAGTTTTCCTTTTTTGTCTTTCTGCCTACTGCATGTCACAGACTATTTTATGCATAAACGAGCCCCACATAAAGTGTCTGTGATGGCCTCGAGACAGGCCCGACCGATCCTATCTCAATATGCAAATCTATTCCCCAATACCACAAGAAGACACACAAGAGGTTGTCCAGGGGCCACATGATTGCAAAAAGAGACAACCACATTAGGGTTTAGGGTTTAGGGTTTAGCACCATCAACTATGGCCATGGATCAAACATGCACCAGCCTACGAGGAACGGACAGTCCATGCGGATGTCAACCTGGTTGACCTGGGGTGTCGGGTTTCAACATCTGACCCATAATCATATAGGTATCTGGATGACCTGGATGTATTTAGCTCTAGTTCTGGGGTGAATCTGCAGACAAATACATATGTCTAAGAGCATTGGGGACAAGCATTTGCTTGTTCAACAGGGGTTCTGGGCTTTAATCAACGTCCTCGAGAACGGTTCCTTTCCAAAGCAAGTTGTTTTCTTCTGGAAACTGGGCCTATAGGAGGTCTACCTCTGTCTTGCAGAGGTGTATTAGTGCGCCACGGGAAAGCTACTCTTGCATCGAACAGTCTTGGGAAGGAAAGAATCCATTGTTTGTCGAGTATCAAATTTGATTGTAATAGAAATCACACAATTGGAGGGAGGATCAACAGCACAACCACCTGGATCACCAGAAACCGACTTATGACTACCATCCAGGCCGCATCGTTCAGCACCAGCAAGAAGCAAGTGGCTTACGATTTTGGTAAAGCCGTTGCACGCCGCCACTTCCAACGGTGTCAAGCCTTCCTTGGTGCCTCCATGCACATCCGCTGCATACTCCAGCAACACGGGAAGAGTTTCGTTCTGGCCACATTGAGCTGCCACGTACAAAGGCGTCAACAAATGTTCAAAGGTCTTGGGATCCTTGGCAGCACCGTTCCGAAGTAGTAAGCGAGCCATCTCGCTTTGACCCGTGGCAGCTGCCACGTGCAAGGGTGTAAAACCCTGGTCCAGGGTGGCGGGGTCCTTGTCCACTCCACTCTGGAGCAACAGCGTGGCCAACTCCTTGGCGAACCGGGTTAGCCGATGTTGACCGGATTTCCGACAGCTTTCAAGAATTAAAGCGATTCTTGTGAAAGAAACTGGAAACAAACAATTCAACCAGAATCACTGGCTACCCATGTGAGGGATCGCAATATTTGGAGCCTGGCGGTGTCAATCATGAATTGGCCGCCGAAGAATTCCTAATAATCCACTGACTGCAACCTTCGTTTCCCAAAGCACGACTATAGTCACTATTATTATATATAGATAGAGCCTTCATGCTGAAACTGTGTCGAGGACATCACCAATGACAGTGGAGGGTGGCAGTGTATCCAAGGGAAAAAGCAATGAAACATCCTGAACACCATCGTGTGGAAGGCCACCTCCTGACCCTGGCCAACTCCTTGGAACATCCGACATCTGAATAAAAGGGAGGTTCAGAATTCTTTGCAACCTCTTTTCATGAGGAAGTTGGGAAGGTTGAACTTTCTGACTTCCTGAGGTTGGGAAGGTTGAACCTTCTGACTTCCTGAGGTTGGGAAGGTTGAACCTTCTGACTTCCTGAGGTTGGGAAGGTTGAACCTTCTGACTTCCTGAGGTTTGTCTGGAAAATAATGACTTTTTTGTGCTGTTTTTTGTAGGGATCCAGCCGTACCGAACCTCAGAATGTACGACTGGACCCGACTGGCTGGCACCTACATCACCGTGTTGAACACATCACCGTACCTCAGAGGGCATGTGGATCCGTCTTAGCCATGGTGAACCAGGCTCCAGGTTCGGCTCCCGCCATACACAGCCACACCCCGCCAGCTCCCAGTCCACGTCTCGCTTTGACCAGTTTGTGCTGCCACGTGCAAAGGTGTGAGGCCCAGGTCCCGTGTGGTGGCGTTCTTGTTCGCGCCATGTGCGAGCAACACACGCGCAAGGTCACTGAAGCCATTCTTGGCAGCGAAGTGCAAGGGCACGAATCCATGCTCGCGCGTGGAGCAGTCCTTGTCGGCACCACTCTCCAGCAACAAGCGAAGCATCTCCAAGTTTCCCGCTTGAGCCGCTAGGTGCACTGGAGCTAAGCCTGCCTCGGTGGTGGCTGGATCTCTACAAGCGCCAAACTCCAGCAACACACGAGCAACATCCGTCTCACCATTCTCAGCTGCGATGTGCAAGGGCGTTAAGCCGCCATTGCCTTCAGCTCGGTCTTTATCAGCTCTACTCTCCAGCAAGAATCGGACGATCCGCGTGTGTCCCGTTTGGGCGGCGAAGTGTAAAGGTGTGGCACCGAAGTTCGTCGAGATGTCTTTCTCAGCTCCGTCCTCGACCAAGACCTTCACCACTTCGAAGTGGCCATTCCGAGCCTGAGATGGGCACCAGAACAGGCCAGGCTACTCATTGGGGGGGTCAGGCGTTTTCGGTGGATCAAGGGTGCCTTGTTTCAACTACCCCTCACAGCCCCTTTGATGAGTCATTGCATAAAGAACGCAAGCACAGGTGAGATGGGCTTTGAACGCAGAAACGAAGAAGCATAACGAGTTATTAATTGTACAACTTTAGCGGATCTAAGTCATGTGCCCAAACGCTGACACTTTACCTTCGCAAACTCCTCCCAAGCTTTTCACGGTGTTATTTCCCGTTTCCTGTATCCAACCCCGTACCCCACCACGGAGAGCAACTTTTCATCTATACATACTGTACAGTCTTGCCTGTGCAGTTGCCCAGGTCATGTGTGTTGCTTACATGTATGAGAAGTTTGAGCCTGAAGCTCAAAGCGGACGTACTTTCGCCGAGATAGGCCCCAATAAGATTAAACCTCAGGACGTCTTTTCTGCACCTCCTGCATGTGAGGTTGTGTAAAAAAAACCCTACCTTTCCCTGTACCACTTTTGACGTTATCGTTTTTTGTTCTTCCTTATCATTTTCCAAGCATATACCACGTCTCGCATGTCAAGGGTTTTGCACAAGAGTCATCATGGGTTATCGTTTTTTGCTTCCTTATGGTTTTACAGGGGATTGAGCATGCTTCCAGAAAAACGGACATGCGAATACTTTAAATTCTTACATGGGGGGTTTTTATACTCTCATGTGGTTGGACACACTTGTTTGTCCAACATCGTCCCGTCAAATGGCAGCTGTGGGCACGAAAGTTACTTTTGAGCATATGTTTCACTATACTCCCATGTCATCTCCGGGTAGTAGATTCCTTCATACAGCTTTGATGATCTCCAAATAGAAAACATGTTAAACTGTTAAACGTGTTAAACCAATCATATCAAGCAATCTCAAGAAGCCGCGGCATGTAGAGGTGCCTTATGAGTAGCTGTACCAGGCAAATCTTTGTCAGCCCCAGCTTCCAGGAGCAGCAAGACGCACTGCAAATGTCCTTCCAGGCTGGCGGCATACATAGCTCCACTACCGCCTTCATCAGTGGCATTTGGACTCAAAGGCCGCTGCAACAACTCTTCCACCTCCTTCAAGCGATTTTCCCGACACGCCAAAACAAAGCTTTGGTCTTGAGCTGGGTCACGCGGCCAATGTTCAGTGACCACCAGGTGGTAAAGCTGGCCATTCACCAGTGGATCTAGAATCACCTCATCTTGCAGCAAGCTTCCAGTCTCCGACATCAGTTTCACTTGGAAGCCTTGGAGTTGCTGGACTGGGAAGAGAAAGGAAAACATATCGTCCCCGCCCTAAGCATTATATATTGGACCCTCCTCTGGAGGGCTTTGACCCTGCTTTTCGCAGGGGCTTGGACCCTCAATGTTGCTTCACCAGCTGAGGGCCCTTGATTCTTAGAATCAAGGAACTTCACATGAATTCACACTCACAAAACCAGGACAAACGCACCCAGGCTTCATCATCATCATCATCATCATCATCATCATCATCATCATCATCATCATCCCAACATCCTCCCAACCAGGAGACGCGTGATGCCTTGGAGCACGCGTTTGGGCCCGGCCGCCAAACACTGCTTCAAGGCCTTCACCGTGGGCCGTGCGGAGACGAAACCCAGCGCGGCCCAGTCCTCAGGCGTCACGGTGGCCGCGAGCGCGCCGGAGCTGGCCCAGCGAATCTGCATGGCGTTTCGCTCGGAAGCACGGAAGCTCCGAGTCCGGGGTGGGCAAAACGCGGGGCTTCAGAGGGAGAGATCTGATCTCACGGGACGGAGCTGTAGTCGTCCGCTTTGATCTTTTTACAACATGGAGACTTTTAAAAGGATGTTTCACATGCTGCTGGATCTTGTGCTGAATTAGTACACATGAAAGAAGGGGCGGGAATGGCGTGCATCATTGTTTGTATTGCTGAGCTGCTAAATAGACATTCATATTCTTTCACAGCAGCGGGCCATGGAACCGCGATGGAACCGTCCGCTTGAACCCGACCGGTGATCTTCAGCCAGACCGGCGAGCCCACGAGTCTCGCGGCGGCGTACGAAGCATAGGGGCAGCACATGGCGAGTCACGTCTGAACCGACTGATGACTGACAAAGAAACACGGGTTTGGACAGGAAAACGGTCTTTCAGGTTGCCATTCTGATCTAATCTCAACTGAAGCAGGATGCAATCGCATTGACAATTCTTGGTGTATCCTGTGTATCCCCAGCCGCAAACTCCAACCGTTCTCCAAGATAGGAGTCAATTGAGATAATCCCAAGTAAGGACACAATTCAAAACAACAAATACCCTACGCATCATTAAGGACCCTCCTCTGCTGGGGGGCTTTGACCCTGCATAGCAGGGACTTGAACCCTCAATGTTGCTTTACCAGCTGAGGGTCCTTGATTCTTAGTGGGATTGGATCCACTGGATAAATATATAATTCTCACTAGTCACCAGTTTGCAACCATTGGTTGTTCGATTCAAGCAAAGACCCAAAAGGGCCCTTAATGCTTCTACCACTAAGAATCTTAGCATCATTCCCACGTCGTACTTGGTTTATGCTGGGCCAAGCATGGTACGTGTTTCAGCTGTCTTCTGACAGAAGCCATACCAATTCCATCCCTCAGTTACTCAGTTTGTCTGGAAAATCTAGGTGAACCGAACTGTGCACCTGTTCCTCTTTAGTGACACTCCCCATGGCTCCTTCCAAAGTCTCAGGTCACCACTGTTCACTCAAACTCAGAGCCCATAGAGAATTCCCCACATCCTTCAACTTCCCCCCAGCTACCCGGGCCTTGCAAAAGCTAAACTTGCATAATAAACCCATACGCAACCAAATATCCATCGTAAAATAAGAACCACATATCCCAGACTCCATGTATCCCATATTTGCCTACATTGCGGTATCATATAGATTAAGGGGTGAATCTGGACATATATCTTAAATTATATGTATGCTCCATCATTCTATAATGTTGACCTCTGATTAATGGTCCCTTTATTCATCGTAGGTCAACAATTACATGGAGTGTTTGGGATATTTTCTTTTGCCAACCTCCGCCGTTATCGCTCGCTGAAACCACCGCCTCCAGGCGCGTCTGGTGCATCGCCGCGGAGCGCGCGTGGTGCAGCTCCTGCAGCCGAGCGAGGACGTCCGTTTCGTTTGGGACGACCGGGTGCCCGGATGCCCTGGCCGGGTCTCATACCGAACTTGGATACGCAAACGGAGGTGTAGGGGGATGTGCTTTGTGTCCTTCTTCGTTGGTGATGATTTTTAACACGTCCGTTTCCGGGTGTCCGGGGGGCCTTTGAGCAATAGAATAGAAGGAAGATGTACAAACAACACCCGGATCTGTTCAACAAACCTTCCACCTGTACTTCAAACGCAGTTTTGCCATGAATCTTCCTCTCAATAGACCTAATTCTCCTATTGTAGGCATCCAAGGTGCGACTGGACCCTCCATGCCTAACAAAAAAACAGTGTCTCCAATCACATCCCTCGGACCTCTGGCAGTGGATGTAGGTGGATCCACAGAACTACTTGGATTCCCACCTGCCCACCATGTGCCTGAAGTGAGTGTTTTCCAAGCAAGTCTCCCTCGTTGAGTCCTCTGCGAGCCGTGCCACATCCGCCACCTGAGGACGGAGAAGAGCAGAGAGGCTCAATGGACACTTGCTGGAAATGATTGACAGAGATACTGCGTGGCTGTGTCAGCGTCCGTGTGGAATCTGAATCCCTTTCCATTCTGCAAAACCCCACACCCACCCCTGTGCGCTGAGTCATCGCTTCATTTTGCCCCTACGATCGCCGCATGCCTGCTTGGTAGGTTCATAAGGTCACCAAGTGGTCACTTGGTGAGAGCCGCCTAAGTTCGTCGCTCGTGCAGGGCCAATTCGGCGTGCCCGAGCTGTCGCCTCATGCGGCTTCGTTCCGAGCTTCGTTCACCACCGAACTCACCGCGGCCAAGAGCATGGCAGCTGGGCCATCGAGTTTCCCAGGATCCACATCAGCCCGAGCTTCGATCAGGCACCGCATCACGTCCACCTGCCGATTCTGAGCCGCCACCCGCAAAGGCGTGGCACCATCGATGGCCTTCAACTCCTGGTCAGCGCGAGCCTTCAGCATCGTTTGTACCACTTCCTTGGATGTCCAGGAACCGGGAAAAAACAAAATCATATCCACCAGTCCAGCGGCTTTACCCATGGGGAAATCAACCAAAAAACACCTCACCTTGAGCACACACACCAACTTGCGGACTTGTCCATGGACATGTCCATGTCACGCCCCGAACAGCCCTTCCACTTCGTGGGGTAAGACATCACCGGACGAGCAAAGCCAGGCTTCTAACTTGCCATTCTGTGCAGCCAAAAGCAGGGCTGAAGCGCCCCGAGGCCCCACGGCATTGATGTCCGCGCCCGCGTCCAGCAAAGCTTGCACCACCTTGGCGTGGCCATTTTGAGCGGCCGAGCGCAAAGCGGAGGGTCCGGGTCCCACAGTCTGCACCACAGCGCCAGCTTCCAGCAAAGTCTGCACCACGTTCAAGTGCCCGTTCTGAGAAGCCAAAAGCAAAGCAGATGCACCACCAAAGCCCGGAGCATTGACAGCAGCACCAGCTTTCAGCAAAGTTTGCACCACTACTAAGTGGCCGTTCTGAGCTGCCATATGCAAAGCCGAGCCGCTGTCTTGTGGCGAAGAATCCATTCTAGCGCCTGCTTTTAGCAAAGTCTGCACCACTTGTAAGTGACCTTTCTCAGCTGCCAAAATCAAAGCAGTTGCACCATTTTCAGCTGCTTCATCCATTTTGCCACCAGCCTCAAGCAAAGTTTGCACCACCTTCGCATGGCCACTCTGCGCTGCGGAAATCAATGCCGTTGCACCATGGTTTGTTTTAGCATTTACCTCACAGCCAGCCTCGATCAACGCGATCACCACATCCAAGTAGCCATAGTGCGCTGCCAAAAGCAAAGCTGTTGAGTCATCATGGCGGGGTTTATTTAGGTCAGCACCTGCTTGAATCAAGCACTGCACCACTTCCAAGTGGCCATTGTGTGCTGCAAAGAGCAAAGCAGTTGCGCCATCCTGCCGGCCTACATTCAATTTGGCGCAGGCTTCTACCAAGCTCTGCACCACTGCCAAGTGACCATTGTGGGCTGCAAGTTGCAAAGGGCCTGCACCATCGAAGCGGATAGCATTGACATTGGCGCCAGCTTCCAGCAAACTCTGCACCACTTTCAAGTGGCCATTGAGAGATGCCAAATGCAAACCAGCTACTTCACCCGGACCTGTCACACTAGGATCTATTGGAGAATGAAGCATCCGTTCGACTTCAGTCAGGAGATTCTCTTGGCATGCCGTCAAGAACGTATTGTTGGTGCCCTCATCCTCAGACTGCAAGTCCAGAACCACCAACTGCAGACTCTTCGGACGATCGGGCAAGCGGTCATCATCTGGCAACTCACCCCGCTCATCATGTACAAGTCTCAGCCGAAACTTGGTGACTCCAAGTTGAGGTGCCAAGAATTGCTTCAGCTCCCTCACGGGTTTCTCGCTCTGTAGGATTGGATTCAGTTCCTCAGAGACTGGACAAGGCGAGAAGGTGGGTCTAAAAAGCCCCCTCCAAACAAATCCCTATACTATGTAGAGAGCGCTTTATTCAGTTCTTGGATAGTAACTACTCAGAACATGTTGTGATTGATTATGATTATCTCAATTGTTGTTCAAACCATTCTACAATATCATACATGTCTGCCCTGAACTGAGCTCCTCCTCTCCAAGCTCCGCCAGCTGCTCGCCAGAAATGTGTAATATCTTCAGCATCGCAGCTTCTTTGCGGGTCAAAGAGCAGCGCACATGCGCCACATGAGCGACACAAGGGAAGACTCTGTCAGGGTGATGTATGATTTCATGTCGTTTTGCCAACCCTTTTGGCAACACATTGAACTCCATGCAACAACCAAAGACTATGCGGCCCGCTTGGCCCAAGAAAACGGCGGAGGTGAGGTAGAAACCAGAACGAGTCCATTGTGCAGAAATCCAGCGTCCGATCTGCAGGAGATCCATATGATTTCTCGAATTGTGCCATTTTTGAGTGGCCAGTCATGGCTGGTGGCTGGTGCCACGCACCCAAAAACCAGGCTCCCGGACACGGGGAGACCAGGGGAGCGGTTCGCTGAGGCCTCCGAAGTGCGGAAGGAGCCCGGTGTTGGGTGTTGGGTGGCGGAAGGAGCCCGGTTTGGGGTGTAGAAGGGTGTAAAATCTATTCAACTCTCAGAGGGTGTAGCAGTGTAGCCGCTACAGTCATCCCAAGGCTGAAACCAGCTGAGGGGATCCACCTTGTCGAACCTCATGTCTGACCCACCAACATGGAAGTGGAACATAGGCGACCAATTGGCTCGAGCCGAACAGGGGATGGAACCCACGTCCATGTTGGTGAGTGGGACAGCAACTCTCAAAGTGTTCGGATGCGTTTGGAATCATTTCAGCGTCTGCCAAAACGCACTGTCAAGTAGAGGATATGATTCAGCAAGGTGATCGCTCTACTTCCCGCTCTTGAAACAAACATCGTCCGAAGCTTTTATCATAGGCTAAGCTAGGTAAGGTAGTATATACATGTCGCCTCTGGGGGTGTCCCCCACAGCAACGACCGTCCCACACGTCTCCGTTGTCTCTGTGAGCAACTTCCCGCTCGCCTGGTTTTCGCAAGCTCGCCTGGACGAGACAGACGGTTTTCTCTCTTCCCGCTCTTCCCGATGCCCCGACTCCCAAGGACAGAGTCCCTCAGTTTGTGCAAACGGAACATCAAAAGGTTATAACATGGGCGGTTAAAGCTATTGTTCTGCCTGAGATGCTAGTACTTTGGAAGTACTTACTTGATGCCAATTCAGACTCTTTGGACCCCAAATGGGGATCAGATCGAAGATCTCCACTCTCTCTCAAGCCCCAATACCTTATCCCAAACACTCCATGAGGGACTGGCATTTTGGATGGCAAAACACTATGCCTGCTTTCGAGGTGGGCCATCAAGGGTATGGCATCCCGAAGCTCCGCCCGAAGCCATCGGACCGTCGGAAAACGCTCTAGATGAGCTCCCAGGTAGCCGTGCGCTCGGCCCAGTGGATGATGATGGTGATGATGCTTAGTAGGTAAGACCCTTACCTATAGAACAAGAGTGAACCTCTTGGACCGACTTCTAATTGCTGGCCCTAGTGATCGCACTGCCACCTTCTCAGAAGGTGTTTTGGACCCTCCAATGACCCTCTCAAAGGGTGGCAGTAGATCCCATGGGGTGGTTTGCTGGGACCAAACGGACGTTAGTATGACCCAACCGTTTCCCTTGAAAACATGGTGAACCGTAGGTTCCATCTGTTCCACCCTCCTTGCAATCTATAGTTTTCTTGCGGACCCTGAACACTCTGGATCTACTTTCCATCTGTTCATATGTTTTTTGTTCGGGCGTCCTCGATCCACACAAAAAAGGTGACCTGCAATTGATCCACGTATGTTTCTCCCCTTGGTAGGCCAAGGCCAACGAGAATTCGCGAAAACGACAACGGAGTTGCCAGCCGAGAAAGGATTGGAGCAAAGCTGTGCAGCCTCTGTGCAACTGCAGGTACTCCATGTTCTCACATGTTCTCCAGATCTTTGATGGTTTCAGGCCGGAAACACTCTGGAACTGAGCAACTATTCATCATGATTCATCATGCTAATGTTTACCTCATAACAATAAATGCCCCCTGAATAATGCTAAACTTTTCCAAACAAAAACAATAAATGCCCCCTAAATAATGCTAAACTTTTTGGGATCTTGTTTTTGAATAATGTATTTTCTTTTCATTTCCTTTCATGTTCCTTTCACCTTTCCTTTCATTTCCAATTCAAATCAAGATTTTCTAGGATTTTTATGGATTTCACATTATTTGGGGCCCGCACTTGATCAAGGGGGGGTTGATTGTTTAGAGGCGGACATTACATGGGGGCTGCTTGAAGATTTCAAGAGGGGTCTGCAAAGAATTCCTCCAGTCATCTCCAGTCCCACTGTCTCACATCAATCCAGCCCTCACATTCATTCTCCCCACACGGAGCCAGACTCAGCCGCCCGACTTGCGCTCGGAGCTTTCTTTTCTCGGGCGCCGAACGCCCAGCGGAGGGCTCAGCGGCTGTAGGGGAACTTCCACCAATGCTCTGCAGAGGTGCAACTTCCTAACTCCACCGCTTTGTTGTTCACCACCATACACCTCAAGAAGGTCAAGAACATCGTGAAATTTACGCAACTCGCTGGCGGCGCTGGTGTCAGGTGTCAGGAGTGAAATGGCAGGGAACTTCGGGGTTTTCACTAATTTGAGGGGGTTACGCATGTGGAACCGCACACTTAAGAACTGCCTATGTCATGTGGACCACAGCCCCTATAGCAAATGGGTGAGTATTAAAATAGGGAGACCTCGCAAGAAGAAAAATTAGATCAAAGACCGTTCGGCCAGGGGTCCCCCTATTGCAATACTCTGTCAAATTGCTTGGACCCTCACAGTGATTGCTGATGCCTTCAGGCACTCGGATGTCGTGTCGGCCTTGATCAGCAACGGCCAACAACTTCCCAGTCGTCCAAAAGTCTGGTCTGATCTGGAAAAACTTGGCGCTCATTTGTCAAGTTCAGCCTTGTATTCACACAAGTCCAATGAAGTCAGTCAAAGGTCGACCTAGTCCTGCTGCTCCTCATACCAGCGTCCCTTCGGTTTGCTCAATACTCATTATAGGGCTGGGTGGTGGACCGTGTCTTGTGTGGCCGTTTCGACGAAGGGGGCGTCCTCAATGTGCTGTACATACACAGGGTGCCCAAAGGGCTTCAGGTCTTTTCTGTTCCCTGAGTGATTTGTGTCGTGTATTTCCGTGAGGCTTTTTTCTTCCCTAAGAATCCGTACGGCTTACAGGCCCTCCATGGCAGGGGTCGAAGCCTCCGCAGGGGTCCGGACCCGAAACCTTCCCATTAGTTCGGGCCGGGATTCTTTGCCCTGAACTACAGTATCATGAATGTTCAAAGTAGATGGCACTGGCAACCCAAAATGTCCTTTAGATATCTTTAGATGGGGTCCATGTGGGCCACCCTTTTGGATATCCTTTGGCGGATTGACGTCGAAAACACCCTATACCTCGCTGCGACTGAGCTCCAAATCCTGAGCCGCCCGGGCTGCTCAGGGGTGACCGCAGGGCTGAAGCTTTGGAAGCCTGGCGGCATTTGTTCCGGTAGTGCTTGATGGGGTCAACCCATGTACCCTTGGGATCCAAGTACCTTCTTACCTTCTCAGAAGGTACTTGGACCCTCCAAACCATAACAGTGTTGAACACATCATCTTCTGAGAAGGTACGACTGGATCCCTAGGGCATGTACACAGTCTACGATAGCCGATAGATGTGATCTGTAATTGTGTGATTTTGTAGTTGATACGTTCCCACTCCTGCCACAGCTCCATGTGGATCATGTGGCTGTGGGTCAAAACCAGGAGCCCGATGGTCATCCTGGTTGACCATGTGTAGTAGTTTATTATCTGGATTGTTCTTTTCGGTGGTCAACAGGGTCCCCAGTTTTGACTCACAGCCAAACATGGCTAATGACGATGGGAAGTGGAATAACTAACGAAGAAACTACCCAGTGCTATGTGAGAGCTCCATGCGAAAGCTGGTGGTACAGCAAACCGCCACAAAAGCGAAGCTCCTGATTCGTGCGAAATTGGTGTCTCGATGCTCTTTGAATGAAAAACCGGAACCGTTGATGTCCAAGCTCTGTCGAAAGCCTTTGGAACCGGAGGTGTTCTACTTTCGTTGGCAACTGGCAACACGAGCTTGCCATATTTGAGTCATTATCAAGGGACTATAGGGAATTATAGTCTCAGCCACATCCCAAATCTCACCTCCAAACCACCGCCTTTCAGCCTTGACGTCTCGAAATCTCCACAATCGGCGTTGTTTCAGCGACGCTCCGGCTGGGCCTAAGGTGCCCTTCTCCTTGCTGGTCTTCCGGATCCACTTGAAAGCCAGGTCGTCGGGCGCGCAGGGCGCCAGGGCCACCGTGGGGTCAAACCTCACCGCCCGCAGACTGCGCCCGTGGTTTTGTTTGGGGGAAGGGGGGGTCGTGTGGTGCCGGGGTGCAGAAGGTCCAAAAGAATGAAACCTAACCAAACGAAAACACATATATAACACAGGCCGTGGAAGACCGTGTGTCCATGTTGGGACTTGGCAAAACGGCGCAACAGTTTTTGTGATCACCTCTATCAAAAATAGTCACTATAGGGACTCTTGTTAGAAGCGTATTGATGGATTCAGTTGTGAAGCCACCACGTCGTAGCATTTTCACACCGCCGCAGTCGACACTCGTTGGAATTGGGAGTTTGCTGGGCAAACAAACAAACTTCTGAATAAACGTCCGTGGTTCTTCCATTCGTGACCGAACTTGATTTGATCCCCTTTCTCTTGGTTCGGTCACAAGCGTCACTGTCTGACTGAGACTTTGGAGTCGTTCGGTCACGGAGGAAGCTGATCTGTGAAGATCCAATTCATGGCAAAACAAGATCCTCTTCGGCTGCCTCTGAGGTTCCCAGCCCAAGGCAAATGCTGTTGCTTCCTGTCGGCACATGGCGAGGAAGCAACCAATCGAAGATGAACAGAGTCGGCAATCAGGCCAAATAGGTCAGAGATGAGAACATCTACTGATTGGTGGCTTCCCCTCAGGGAAACATATTAGGCAGCGGGATCAATCATCACAAAAGGTTGAACATCCACATCTCTGAAACCACCAGACTCAGGTTGAAGGAAGAAATCACACGTCCGAACTCGGAAAGGCCAAGCAGCCGATAGCCAGGCCAAAGTAAACAAACAGAATCAGTGCACGACCCTACAGGTCAGTTTGACCTCATTTACTGGAGATTGAATGAAAAACACTACTCCAGGTAAAAGGACCAGTGTGTTACTGAATCTTTGGCAGGGCCAAGACGTTGTTTCACCCTGGAACAGTGGCCCTCGGCCTCAAACATGGCCAACACATTGTATTCATCTTGGGCGTTGTATGATTGAACAAACATGAACAACACAAAACATGTGCTTTGTCTGTACTGACCTTTGTACTTGGAGGGTCCAGGCGCTGTTAAACATATGAGTGGTATTTGCAGTGACATCATGGCTTTCTGGCTTCTAGATACACAGAAACTTCTGCTGTAAATATTGTAATTTAATTTAACCATTCTCAAACACGCAATGGATGCTTGGCCTGCCACAAGAGCTTCGCAAGATGCTAGCCCACATGACCGGCACATTGGAAGGGCTCATCCTCCATCTCATTCGTCCCCGCCGCACCTTCGCCACTACGGAGCTTCTGCTCGTCATCCAGCGTCCACTGCTGGGTCTTGCCTCCATGGCAGCCGTAGAGGCCTGGTGGCCCAGAGGTCCTGAAGCGGTCTCATTGGTCCGAGACCAAGGCAAAGCGGCAAACTGAGGGAAATCCCACTCAAATCTACAAACAACATGTGGAACTCTCGCACTGAAAAGGTGTATGTATGTGACCTGCACGTGCATCCCTAAGTCACACATCAAGGTAGTATCATCGCTTCTCGTTGAGGAGCGACCCTGCGAAGAATGACTTGTGAAATATCTGCAACTACACACTTGCCTGGTTGCCTACAATTCAAAACATAATCTTCAATGGGGGCATGTTCCCAGTGCCTAGCATATTAAGCTGGAGGGTTTCGTCAGGATGCGCTGGGGCTTTTTCAGGACGCCCAAATACCACTTGGCTCCTCTGCATGTTGTCGATGCAAAGATCCTTCTCCGGGCCACCTAAGCTCGAGAAGTGGGGAGAAGCCGAATCTGGAGATGCATGGTGGCTTGAATCTGGATGCTTGCACTATAAACATGGTCAGTAACTACATGTACCACATAGAACAAGGACATGAACAGGATGGTGTGCTAAGTGTAGGTTCTTCATCTGCCGCGTCGTTGGAGTGGATCCACCTTCATTGTGTCACACCATCTGCCAAGGCGCTTAAAGTCCCAGGGTTGTCGAAGAGCCACCGTTGCAACGGCAGGCCCTGACGCGGCGGAACACGGTCGAAGTGTCGCTGCCTTGCGAAAGGAATCCAACAAAAGATCAATCCTACGATTCAATTTGGTGTGTGTATTCAATATGAAGATCCCCAATCAACGGGTTTTGGTCCATTGTGCTTGTCTTCCTTGGGGTCTTTGGGAGGTCTCCCTAGTTCAATACACACCTATTTAATTTGCTTGGATTGGGGCCACTCCTGACCATCTTCTTGGGATTTGATCATGGGCTGCTTGACCCAAAAGTTTCCACTCTTAAACAAGGAGACTATATAGTGACTCGTGACGAAAGAAAAAAGAACAAAAACGATGTCCTTTCAAGTGTTTGGCAGTGACAAGTATTGACCAAAGAGGTTTCCACAACCCGTCGATGTGCTCTATTCGGGCCAACACCCAGAAAGCATTGGCAGGAGTTCTTGGGGTTCGCACATCTATTGTCGGACGAACTGCTTGCAGCACACCCAAGAATTCAAGCTCGATCTATTTTATTCACTTGATCAGATTTCGAAGAAGCGCATTGACTCGACGCATCTATTCACACGTAATTACGGAGTGTTTGCTTCTGTCACGAACCACCGAAACGACATCTGCACACTGCCACTGCTGCGCAATGCGCACTGCCTTGCACTTCACCACGTCCAAGGCTTCACCCGAAGGACTCCTGCCAGGTTCGGTTCTTGCGCCCGTGTCCGGCTTCGGAGGGGTCGGGGCATGGTTTGAGCATCGGCTTTGAGGAGCTGGTGCACTAAGTGGACTAGCTTGGGACATGGATTCGGAGATGGATTCGGAGTTTGGGTGGTTTTCAGATCTTGTCTTAGCTAGTGGATGTGACAAGGGCACCCATATCCTCCAAGTTGGGCGCCCAAGGATCCACATACCTTCTCGCACTTGGACCCCCCATGCGCAAAAGTGTCGACCCCATCACGGGGATGTGCATCCATAGGGATGGAAACTGCTGGTTGAAGCGAACTGGCGCAACTGGTGAGAGGAAGGCGACGCACCGGCGCTCTCGGGGTCTGCGGGGTCTCTGAAGGGTCGCTCCGTGCATCGGGTTGGCTCTGAACAAGGATCGAAGTTGGACTGATGGAGCCCATCGTGTCGACCTACAACAGGGTTAGGTGAGGGCTCAGGTGACTGGGTCTGGGGTCTACAAGTTTGGCCGGGCTTGGCATGGTGAGTTCTCCAAGAAATCATTCAAACAAACAAATTCGGGCTCAAGAGATTCGGGCACCGGAATTCTGCGTGGTCAAACATGGTTCACATCGGTGGTCTGCTGGTGACTCCCGACCAATGTCCCCCTCTTCCTCCATTCTCTGCTGGCAGCCCCTTCCAACCAACTGCCCAGTCCAACCAAACCAACGATCTCCACCAGCCACAGCTCGCTGTGCCCCCCAAAATGCGTCCGCATGCGTCCGCAATATCACCACATGGCATCACATGTTCAAATCTGGAGACCGATTCCCAGGACCCTTCCGTCAATGCCTGGGAGGTCATTGCTATCATCAAACACCCAGTTGCGGTTGAAATATCATCCACTTCTGACTGGTGCGACTCGTAGGGAATGAGGGAATGAACCCCCAATAGAGATTCCTTTGGATCCATTCCCTCATTCCCTCATTCCGGCAGCAACCAATTGGTGATTGGTCCATTCTCCGAACCTTCCAGGGAATTCATTGCCTTGGAATGGAGACCTGATCAGGTCTGCCTGGCCTTTGCTACACACCCGGCCATCGGCCGAATCGGCCTGGTCAGGCAGTCGCCCGTGCGATCCAGGGAGATCAGCGAGGTTCCATCCATCTTCCATCGACTGCCCTGGAGGCGGATGGGGTGGATGGTGGATGATGGTGGCGGAAAGGATGGGACGGATGAAGAAACCAACATTTCAACTAGGACTAGGATCAACATAGGTATTTCATGGTATTTCAGTGAATGACAAGTATGAATTACTTTGATAGACTTGGTACTCTGAAGGGGAAAAAGGAGTTGACTTCCACGGAGAGTCCAAGGCATCTTACGCCTTACGCTGGTGAGCAATCAAATTCGACTCAGCGGCTGGCATGGACCTTTGGACGAGCATTATACTTGGTGAACAGGGTGCTGTCCACTTGCATGTGTGAGTGTAACAGAGTGCAAACCATGATTGAAACTCGCATCCACATCGCAGAAACTTACACAAAAACTGGTGCTATTCCTGAGCCGTTGTGGGAAGTTAATGACCACTCCACACATGTCAAGACTGAAGAGTGAAGTCTACTCTGCTGCATCCGTGAAAGAGGTGCTAGAATCTCGGTTAGTCTGGTGGGGCAACCTCAAATCAACCCAGTGTCAGAATCCGATACAGTCCAATGTCCTTTTCTGCAAAAGTACATGGCACACACCCTCTGCCTGGATTCAGCCAAAGTCTCATCTCCTCCAACACATGAGAATTGTGCAACCTACCATCAACTTGGTCTAGGTCTATATATTCAACCCCAACTAGCCCTCAAACCCATGTGACCCCGGTTTTGATTGAACAAACACATGGCCATTGTTCATGGTCCAAAAAACAAAAGGAATCATATGCACTTCCTGGGCTTGCACGACCTCCATCAAGTGGGTTTGGATTTCAATAGGGTGACCTCCCTGGCCCAATGGATGTTAGTCTGCTTGTTCATTTTCCAGAGGTAGGGGGGTCGATCTGAGGGTCTTTCTATTCGCACCCCACCTTCATCGTTCGATCGTTCGACTGGATTTGCAGTCCTAGTTGACCGACCTTCCCGCCCTGGACTTGGACCTTCCCGCCACGCCTTACTGCAGGGCACTTGCGCCATGATCTGTGTCCGGAGGCACACCTCGGCGTTTTAAAGAACGCCACACACACTTGCGGAGCCAAGGCTCCCCTGCACTCATAGACACTTGTGGGGGTCATGTTTTGTGTTTGATGATAGACACTTTCAATCTGGCCATCACTCTTTCATGATCTGGATGAGAACCCGCTTTCCACCCATGTTCCCCCCCCTTCACCTCGAAGCGTCGCGCACCAAAAAGGGAAGGCTTACGAACGTCGGTGGCGCCCAAGCGGCCAGGTGGTGGTTGATGTGGGCGCTGAACCTCAGGTGGTGGTTGATGAGACGGTCAACGATAGATCCAAAGCACCCTGAGAACTCCGGTGGGTGTGCATCTTACTAGGGAGACCTGTCAGCAAGTCGCGGTACCCCAGGGTTTGGGTATTATTCTTTATGTTTTGGAAGGCAGCAACACCTGCGGCCTGGTACACTTCCGGCCAACAAACGAGGTTCGGGGGATTTGCGGCTGCACCTGTCTCCAGCGGCTAGTTTGTTTTGCCACTTCACTGCGTCGCGCTGAAGGCTTCCTCTGGTGATTCATAGCCCAAGATAAGCATCCCGCCTGCTGCCGCGCTGTTTCAGAAGCGCAATCCTGCCTTGCTGCATTCTACTATCCTGCACACATCTGCCCGTTCACAGTGCAAAGGAAGCCGATGACGCTGCGTACTGCATCCCGAGCGCATGGCAAAGCCCGCCGTCGGGCCGCCCCGCGTCACGGCGCGACCTGCCGCAGGTGAATCGTCCTGCAAGCCCAAAGCGCTCGAGCGAGGCTGGAAATAGACCCAAGTGCGGGTCCCTTACGAAAGCCAACAGGCGTGACCCTGGCGGGCAGCGACACCCCCTTGGCATCCACGGTCTTGGGCGCCTTGGAAATGCCGCACTTCTCCGGTCGTTGGGGCTGGGCCCGACGCAAGGACGGCGGCCCAGAAGGACGCAGGGACGGCCTTCGGGCCTTCACGGCTATTCTTCGCTCCATCACCCACCAGATCGGGCCCATCACCCACCAGATCGGGCCCTTCACCAACCAGATCGGGCCCATCACCCACCAGATCGGGCCCTTCACCAACCAGATCGGGCCCATCACCCACCAGATCGGGCCCTTCGCCAACCAGATCGGGCCCATCAAGATGTTCTTCACGCAGTAGACTATTTACTAAGCGCTACGTCGACACCTTTCCACTCATCGACGCAGCCATTGAGGTGTGGGACCAGGCACTGTGGCTCTCGAAACACGAACGATCCACAAGAGAGTCTGACGGAGCCGGAGAGACAGCTTTATGGATTCCAGAATCCGAAGCTAGGTCCGAAGACGTCTTGAAGGCTCTGATGAAAGTGAATGAAGACGTTCTGTTCTATGGACGGGCTCCATCTTGGCTCCACACGTCATGTCACCAAGGTCACCCGTCACCACACCCAAAAGAAATGTACAAAAACCCGCAAAATCACTGGTTTTGTGTCTGAATGGTGGCTTTGAAAGAGGCACTGGTTGCGGTGTTATCCCTCACGTTCCCACCAAAAAAAGATCCCATATCTCACCTGCCAGTGTCGAGCCAGTTTCTGGCTTCCAGACCTGTGCCAAACGTCCACCAAACACCGGGGGTCCAAAGGGCTGGATGTAGTTCTGCGAGGTAAACTCCACGTTTTGCTCCGGTCGCCCTTTGCAGGCCTCGGCGGTAAAAGCACCGCCGGTCGCGAGCGGTAAACCGGCGTCTTCAGAGGGCTGGTTCCAGAGCGCGAAGGAAGCGACTCCGCCGGTTGGGATGAGAAATCAGGGATGAAACCGAAGAAACTCCATCTCTTCCTGTTGAGTGGGGTGTAACCAATCACCCAAGAAGGCGACCTGGAGCTTATCTACTAACTGGGTATGCATAGTTTAACTGAGCAAGCCATATATAGATACACTGTACTTGGAGCACCTCTCTCAAGCACCTCTCTCAAGCTTCGCCCTTTGTTCACCCCTTCAGTAGGGAAGCCCGATGGGGGCGAGGGTGTATTTGGAGGACGTCGCGTTCTCACCGCAGGGTGACACACGTTGGTCATCCGGTAGAGCCGAAGCTAAGCCAAGGTACATCCAACTGGACGGGCCCATGGGAATCTGGACCACCTCGCGAACGGTTGGCAGGTGAACCCAGTGGTTCCAGTGGATCGACTATACCCACAGCGCCACAAACCATCGAAGACTTGGTTTTCCCTTGGAATTAACATGCATTTTGTATGTGAAAACCGTTTCCTTTTTCATGGGTTTGAGGGCCACTGGTAGTAGGTACCTATAATGGTTCCAGTTTGACCGAAGGAAACTCCGGTTCCTCATGAGCTTTTTATTCAGTGGTCACTGGGATGTAGTGGGATGACGCAAGTGTGCCAAATGGGAAGGTGAAGATCCTGGGACGTTCCTTTTGTTGAGACCCTCTGGGGCAATGAGGACGTGGCACGGCCCCCCGCACGAGACGGCGAGGCAGTGAGCTGAGCTGAAGGAGCTACGAAAGGCGGAGGTGTGTCCCGGTTCTCATCCTGGCTGTTCTCCCCTAGCCCTAGCTCTCGTGGCCCACAGATCTCCAAGTGGCTCGCTTTCTTCGCATGGCGCAGTCTCTGACACAACCCAGAACCCTTTTATTCTTATTCATTGCGATTCCGATAAGATCAGCCAAATATCATACATCCCATATCGACTCACGTTTACCTGGACCCTCCAAAGTACCTTAGAAAATGGGACACGACGACCCGACCCACATTTCCGAGCTACGGATGGGTCGACCCAGGTATCTTATCCCAACTCGACCGTCTCCTCTCCCCGAAGAAACCGAGCGCCTGTGAGACATTGCGCCTTGGACACGGACAAGAAGCCGCCGTTCTCAGAGTCCTCGTCTGGCACGTACAAGTCACGACCTTGGTAGTGCGACCAAATGTAGGGCGGGAGATCCGACTGGTGAAGAACTCCTGCAGTGCA